CGAAAAATTGCATCCCACATGGGGACGACCTAATTTTCCAGCCACAGCACTACCATGGTTTTATATATGACCCATACCCAGGGCCGTGTTCAGGATGTATGATGTCCCTGTGCAGTCATTTATTTCTCACCACTCCCTTTTCCCTCTGCCAAACTTCAGCACAGTTATTTCTTTACAGACTACCAACAATACACTGCGCAATTATTTACCTCCACTGGAGACTGTACTGTCGTATTTTAACTTGACTAAACATACAACAAAAAACAAATGTGCAATTCTGGGTGCCAATGCAGCAATTATATGCAATACAAGATGAAACTTTCACAGTGATAAAAGCAATAAAGACAATAACACTTTTTAAACTACTAGTTATATTTCCGCCCTGTGCAGCTGCATATGTTGCACACAGCCTAGATACGATCCTGTACATACCCCACCTTGTTCTTTAAAAAAAAACACGCACATCTAAAGATATATATGATTCTAAAACTTCAAATACTTATTTACAAAGTAAATCATCATACCATATCAAATATGAAGGCTTGAACACATACACAATGATAACCATTTGGCAAGAAAATTTTATGGAAGTGAAATTCAAGTTTCAGTAAAACAACAGCAAACAAAAATCTTAGCTGGCAACGATCACTGCCATCTACCTTCTTCTTCTTCTTCTTCCTTTGCCCTTAAAAGGGTGGTTGATACGTTTATGTTGTGATTTACAGCTAGCCTGTAGTATCTACACCTTCCATCCAAACCCATGCGATTCCAAGAATCGCCCAAATAGTTACCTTCAACAACAAGCTTGCTGGGGAGGGTCGCGGTGGGAGGGGGGGGGGGGCCAGTGGGTTCTCTTCTTTTTTCTCCAGAATGGGGTCTCGGAACCCACATGAGTGGTTCTCTGCCAAATGTCAGACTTATATGAGAAGCAAATTAACTCTAAGAGAAAAGAGAAAAAAAAAGGGGGGGGGGGAGGAAAAATTACATTTTATTGGATTTCAAGGATACCAGATCAATATCAAGCTTCAGAGTCAATACACAAAAAAACAATATGAGTCAATGATTCACAAACTTCGACAATATGGAAAATGACAGGATCTCAGTAAAGTGTAACAATTAAATTATATTTTTCTAATCTCAAGACAAGGTGCTGTTAAAATAGGGGCGTTAAAGATTACAATGATTTGTCCACATAATCAGTTATTAGACATGGAAAAATGAGAACTTGACATTTGAATAGTTTTATTAATTGTTTCCTTATAATGTGGTGGTAAGCACACACAGAAAATTAAACAACTGAATAATTGTATTTTACTTCTACATTGTTCGTACTTTTGTTCCTCCATCACAAGTGATGGGGACCACTCTTTCTTTCATCCATCATGAAACTGCAGTTGAATGTTTTTTAGTCCGGAGGTGACTTATAACTCCAATATTTGCCCAAAAGTTTCTAGGACAATGAGGGCAGGACACAGCGTCTGTAGACAAAGGGCCTGTTTGACGGTTCTTTCTGGTCTGTTTTCACTGTTCAGCTGCCATTGTTCTAGATGCCTCGCAGATCGTTGTACTATTTCGGATATATGTGCGCCATAAAGTCCGGTCTTGTGATGCAGTCTCCCATGTGTCAGGATTTAAACTGAAGGCTTTCAGTGATGCCTTTAGTGTGTCCCTGAAGCACTTTTTCTGGCCCCCATGAGAACGTCGACCTTCATGTATCTCAGCATAGAAGATTCTTTTTGGGAGCCGCTGGTCAGGCATTCAAACAATAAGGCCAGCCCATCAAACCTGTCACTGCATCAGGTGCTTCAACATAATATGCTGCTAAACATTACATTGTTGCTTGTTGCTGTTCCGCTAAAGGCTAATCACCACAATGTCTGGCTTCTGACTAGTTTCTGGAGCTGTAAAGCTGATACATACTTTCTGTTTTTCCCAATCGGGGAGTCTCCGTGGCAAAGCTGTCAAGCCGTTTGCCTAACGCTCTGAAGGTCATGGGTTCATTTCACAGCAGTGCCCTCCAGTTCACAAGTGGAAATTTTTATGGAGACCCCTGGGAATTGAGGGCAGAGCTATGGAGTTCATGCTTTGATTGATGCTCTCAGCAGGTGGCTAGAGGGTTCTGCTGAGAGAGACGAGCCATATGGGATATAATCCCTGTGCAATGAAGTCAATCCTCTCAACTTTTTAACCTGTAACGTTTTTCCAATATTTTCCTTGACTGCTAAAAAGAAGAGCAATTTAACAAATTAAATTATTTCATACAGATTACACATACTCAACAATTAGATGATGTTAAAACTAAACAATTCAATGGTTAATTTATTTAAAGATGCTATTTCATATGCTTCTAAACAGGGAAATTAAACAATTCAAGGATTTCATTTTGTTTCCACATAACGTGCTGCTAAACAGAGGGAGAACTAAACAGTTAAGTGATTTATCTGGTTTCTATAAAACATTATGCTGAACTAAACAATTCAATGATGCATCAAGTTTCCTTCCACAGGATGTGACACAAAACAGAGGGAGAACAAAACAGTTCAATGGTTTACCTAGTTTCCATACAATTTGATACTAAACAGAGGCAGAATTAAACAATTCACTGATGCATCTTGTTCTCACAGAATGTGACACAAAACAGAGGGAGAACAAAACAGTTCAATGATTTATCTGGTTTCCATACAATTTGATACTAAACAGAGGCAGAATTAAACAATTCAATGATGCATCTAGTTCTCACAGAATGTGACACCAAACAGAAGGAGAACAACACAGTTCAATGATGTATCTAGTTTCTGATCATCCAAACCAGCTGATACAATCTGCAGCTTCATAGCACGGTGATAAAATAAAAATAATAATGAGTCTAAATTCCCTGAAAATCACACAAAGTATGAGGGTCAGCACAGGTGGTTGTGAATGCAGTTTTACAATCCTAACAATTGCAAGAAATGATGTGCCATCCCCACACTGAAAGTTAGCTACAGTGTTCCCGCTTCAATCTTCAGGAGTATTGAGGGTCCCAATTAACTTCCATGGTGCAACCCTTACACCACTTCCCCAGAAATTTTAGTTTTTTATTTAAAATATTAAACTGAATACCACAGAGCTCTAGCCCTAGTACTTGAGGGTCATGAAATTGTTAAACACATTCACTATCCTCTAAACTATACAGCCATATCCCAGCATACTAGGTTTCAATCCTAGATGCAAATTTTTAGGTAGCAGACCATTATGCACTAATTCTGTACCTTTCAAAAAGCAAAGGCAAACTAATGAACATACAATTGTCTAATAAAGCCACAAACATATTATACTTAAGTGTCAAGTACCCCCCCCCCTTTCCCCCATTACTGTCCTCTAGTACTTACACAAATCATATGTGGTGTAACAAAGTGAGATTACATACACTGTTCCAGAGGTTCAGTTAGACTATGCATATTAGCGCACCCCCCCGCCCCCCCTCTCCAAGAATCTCATTTGTGATGAATATCATCTGATATAAATTCAGGCCATGGTGGATACCATCTGACGTAAATTCAGGGTAAACTGAATACTTTTTGATGCAATTTCAGGGTAAATTGGATACTTTTTGATGCAATTTCAGGGTAAACTGGATATTATTAGATGTAATTTCAAGCAACAATAGATCGTATTTTATGTGAATACAGGCTACACTCTATATCATTTGATTTAAATTCAAAGTACACCTGAATAATAATCTTCTTTGAATCCATGCCGTTGGGCGTCGATATCTTCTGTCTTTCACTTTCACTCAACTCTGACATAGATGATCCTCCATGCCATGATGGCAAACTGTCCAGCATCTGTTCTCTCGATCTTCCTCTGCCTCTCCTGCCCCTCCAACTTTCCTGCCGTCACAATGTATTCCAGTTTGCCCCTACTCACCACATGCTCACAGAATAAAGACTGTCTTTTTCTGATGTGGGCAATCAGTTAGTTCTCTTCGTGATATCATTTTGGTGGGTTGAAAAAAAAAAAGGGCGGGGGGAAGGTATCATCCGATAAGAATTCAGGCTATACTAGTTAGCATCTGGCGTAAATTCAAGCAACAACAGATACAACTTTATGTAAATTCAGGCAACACAAGATACTTTTTGATGTACATTCAGAATCAACTGGATACTTTTTGATGTACATTCAGAATCAACTGGATACTTTTTGATGTACATTCAGAATCGACTGGATACTTTTTGATGTACATTCAGAATCAACTGGATACTATTTGATGTACATTCAGAATCAACTGGATACTATTTGATGTACATTCAGACTATGCTGCCCTTGAAGACTTTCATGCAGATGGCAAATGACATGTGGTGTAACGATGTGACAGTGTGATGTCTTTCAAGGCTGTCATTAGGTATTATTTGGTTCAGCACAAGCTATACTGCACCTTAAAGTCCATATTACCAAGACAGAATGCACTTGTAAAAATGTTGGCCTAAACATTTCTCTAAGTTCTTAGCATTTTCAAATTTTGCCTTTCTGTACAGGCGCTATGTGAAACTCATCCAATAGTTTTCTATCATATTCATCTGTCTCAAACTTTCTGTTTAGTTTATCTCCCTTAGTTTTCACTGACCCTGTTGGCTCAAGTGCACACACTGTTGTTAAACTATTATACAGTTTTTCCAACATGGGTCTTATCCACCACCAGCATCTTTTCCTCACCTCCAATTACACTGAAGTAGATTTAGTTCTCACTCTAAGCTCTGTATCTGTTATTCTGTCATTTTATTGAAATCACTCTAATATGTGCAGGCACCAGTTTATTAGTAATTTAAGTCATTCTCCTTGTTTGTGATCCACATGCTAGCTGTGATTTGTCATTCTAAGTGTGGTACTTCATAACCCCACAATGATTTCCGCTCAGTTGACACATGTGATGTAACAGCATGTCAGAAAACACTCTCCTTCAAGTTGTCAACATGTAGCCCCAGTGGCAATCAATCTACAATGTATCTAATCCAATGCTTTCAAGGCAGAAAAAACGAAAGTCCTGGCCGAAGATCATTGTTTGGCATGGCCTGCAGAACTTCATCCAGAAGCTGCAGTGGGCGATGAAGCTGGATCTCTATCCAGCAAGGGGTTTCCTTGATGCTCTTTCTGGGATAATCAGGTCCCCAGCCCTTGACAAAGCTGAGACGGAGGAGGCAAAGTCGGCGCAAGTCATCCACACCAATGCCTGCTGCTGCTGACAGACTGGCTGTGAAAGTTGGAATTGAAGAATAAATATTTATTAGACAAAATTTATATAGAAAAGTCAGTCATGAAGAAGAAAAATATGAATCAGTCAGAATATTGGAAAATCAGTCATGAAGAAGAAAAATATGAATCAGTCAGAATATAGGAAAATCAGTCATGAAGAAAAAAAATATGAATCAGTCAGAATATAGGAAAGTCTGTCATGAGGAAGAAAAATATGAATCAGTCAGAATATAGGAAAGTCAGTCATGAAGAAGAAAAATATGAATCAGTCAGAATATAGGAAAGTCAGTCATGAAGAAGATTAATATTAATCAGAAAGAATACAGGAAAGTCAGTCACGAAGAAGATTAATATTTATCAGACACAACCTATAAAAGTCATTTGTAAAGAAAAAACTAATCAGACACAACCTATGAAAGTCATTTGTGAAAAAAAAAATTAACATTTGTGAAGAAACAAAATTGATCAAACACAACCTATGAAAGTCTTTCGTGAAAAAAAAATTAATCAGACACAATCTATTAAAGTCAATTGTGAAGAAAAATTTATCAGACACAACCTATGAAAGTTATTCGTGAAGAAAAGAATTAATCAGACACAATCTATGAAAGTCATTCGTGAAGAAACAAAATTAATCAGACACAACCTATGAAATTCATTCATGAAAAAAAAAATTAATCAGACACAACCTATGAAACTCATTCGTGAAGAGAAGAATTAATGAGACACAACCTTTGAAAGTTAGACAAGTAGGAGACAAATAATAATTAGATATAACCGGTGGCAGAAAAAAAAATTAAGAAGAGTTATTAATCATCATATACAGTGTATGAACATCAGGTGCGTCCTATTTTGTAATCAGTGTCGATCCATACTATAATCATTTATATAATTTGGAATCACTCTTGCTCTATTCTCTAAATAACCATGTCCAATTTTGTAACCATACTGTCCCATTCTGTAAATCACACTGTCCCATTCTGTAAATCACACTGTCCCATTCTGTAAATCACACTGTCCCATTCTGTAAATCACACTGTCCCATTCTGTAAATCACACTGTCCCATTCTGTAAATCACACTGTCCATTCTGTAAATCACACTGTCCCATTCTGTAAATCACACTGTCCCATTCTGTAAATCACACTGTCCCATCTGTAAATCACACTGTCCCATTCTGTAAATCACACTGTCCCATTCTGTAAATCACACTGTCCCATTCTGTAAATCACACTGTCCCATTCTGTAAATCACACTGTCCCATTCTGTAAATCACACTGTCCCATTCTGTAAATCACACTGTCCTATTCTGTAAATCACACTGTCCTATTCTGTAAATCACACTGTCCCATTCTGTAAATCACACTGTCCCATTCTGTAAATCACACTGTCCCATTCTGTAAATCACACTGTCCCATTCTGTAAATCACACTGTCCCATTCTGTAAATCACACTGTCCCAGTAGGTTTCTTCAGTCTAGTCCTAGTTTATCACTGACCAGATTTCCTATCCTTAATCAGTCTTGTCCCATTTTGCAACTGATAAGTCCCATTTTGAAATCCTGAATAGTCATTGATATGTACATTCAGTTTACAAACTAAGACTACTGATTATACCGATAGCATCTCAAATATCAGATTAAAGTTAAGGGGTCACTACACAGCATTTTTTTAAATTTATGACAAAAATATCACTTTTTCAATGTGTTCGTTTTTGTAAAGTTCGGCATGCGTAGAATAGATTACACACACAATTTATGTCATTTGTAAACAATTTAGCATTGAAAAGTTAATACTAAAGGCACCAACCCATGCACTTTTTTAAGATTAAAAAAAGTTTAAAAGTCAGTTTTCTCACATCTCTATATTTCTGTTTGTTGTGTGTGTGAAATCCTTAAATATCAGCTGATAGAAAGAATAGAAAGATGAGTATGGATACACCTTAAACAACATTATAGGGACTATTGTTTTTAAAAGTAGATTTTAGAAAGTTTTTGTTTTTAAAAATGCGATTATTGTCTTATGATGCAAGATTTTTTTGACTTTTTTAATAAACCTACATTTTAAAATTCTACGAAAAATATTTAAAAACATGTTTAAAGTAAATAAACTAAACCTGTACCTCTAAATAAGATAGAAGGTCATGAATCTATCATCTATTGTTTAATACGTATGTTTGTTTTTGATATTTCAGGATTCTAAGTACATGTTTTTTTTTTCCCTTAAGATGGCAGCTATTGCCATGACAACCATGAAGTTTTTCACACTTAAAGTATGCAAATGTAATAATATGTATGTCTTCAATGACCATTATAAAATAATTGCTCTAACTGTAAAAAAAAAAAAATGGGGGGGGGGGGGGGGGGGGGGGTGGGGGCACGTAGTGACCCCTTAAGATCTGTTTAAAATGTCACATTTTTACTGTATATTTAGTAAAGTAAAGGACCCTTTTCCACGCCTTTAGGGCTCGACCTATATTTTATAGCCCAGTCAGTACAAGATGGGTGATGAGGTCAGCCTTCCGCCGGCCACTTTTACTTCCTGGGACTGCACCCAGTACCCACTCAAGGCTGGGTCAACCTGGGAACCAAGGATATTTTTGAAAAAAGAGGCTCCTCCAGGAGCGAAAATAAACCCTTTCGATCCACGGCTAGCATCTGGCCGCTCCACCACGGCGACTTCTTTGCCATAAATTACTGATGCCTATAAGAGGATCTCCTCAGCAAACTAGTTTAGATGAATATGCATCACTTCCCCTTGAGGGTTGCGGGGCCCAATTTTGTTAGCGGGGAAGGGGGGAAACAGACCAGCTGATCCCCTAACAAACATATCATAAAGGACGACTAATTAGTGGCTTGCTGAAATCTCATGTGCTGGGTCAAAGGGCCAGATATCAAAGTCTAGCTGTATACCACAAAACAATACATCAACCAATCTTTAAAGGATGAATGTAGAAGAACTCCAGCCACCCTGCCAGTCATGAGTTTGGTACAGGACTCTGCGCTTCAGTTTACAGGTGTAGGTCACCGACGAAGAGCTGGCTTGCTGACAGTGCCCACACCCCCTCCCCTTCCAGTTTGTTTACAGTATTTGAGTAATTTACTTCTCTCCCCCTTCTGAGTAAGTTCTTTGCTATTTCTCTTACATCTTAGTTTTATTTTCGCTTTTAAAAATACTTTAGTTTATTACTTATTTTATCCGGTGCTTTGTTTTATTCTTGTTTGTATCTGGATGCTTTGCTTTATTCCCCATATTATCTGAACGTTTTGCATTATTCCCTATTGTATCTGAATGCCTTGCTGTATTCCATGTTATATCTGAATGCCTTGCTGTATTCCCCATTGTATCTGAATGCCTTACATTATTCCCCATTGTATCTGAATGCCATGCTTTATTCCCCATTATATCTGAATGCCTTACATTATTCCCCATTGTATCTGAATGCCTTGCATTATTCCCCATTATATCCGAATGCCTTACATTATTCCCTATTGTATCTGAATGCCTTGCTTTATTTCCTATTGTATCTGAATGCATGTCGGCTCTGTGGCTAAGTCGATGCGAACGCTTCGTAATGCCGGGTTCGATCCCAGCTGCGGGCCACGCGCCTTGCGTTGGTTTTGGCAGTGGTATCAAGAAAGTTGACTGTCCAGAAAGCAATGGCAAACTACTGGACGTAAATGTGCCTAGAAATGAATGCATTGTTTTATTCCCTATTGTACCTGAATGCATTGCTTTATTTCATACTGTATCTGAACGCTTTGTTTTTCTACAACTGTATTTAAATGTGTGATTTTCTTTCTCATATGTTACATCGAATTGCTTTGCATTATTTTGTGGGAAAACTGCTTATCGGATAGATATGATGCACAACCAAACAATTTTACCCTATAGTGAAGCTGTAACTGACTTAACAAACACACTGACATATGAACAAATGAACCTAATGAGAGAAAACTGGGAGTGCCTACCTCCAACAGCTGAGGAACCAGCGATGCTTCCAGCCACTGCTGCTGCTTGTGCTGCGGCTGCTGCCTGGGCTGTGGCTGCTTGTTCCTGCATCTGATGGTGGCACTGTCTTATATCAAACACCTGCCACGGAAACAGACAGAAATCATTACAGAGCTATGCCAGAACAGAACTTTTCTCCATGTAAGCACATTTAGTAACTGTTTCATTTTAGCTGCAAGTGATTTGGCAGCAGACTGCTTTGCACTGATTTCAACAATGATATGGAGCTCTGACTGTTCAGAGAGTGACGGCAACCTAGAGAAGTGAAATTATTTTGTTGAATTAAAAACAGCCAATAAACGCTTAGTTTAGGGAAACTAAGAAAAGGAACTGCAAATGACTGTTTTAAACTCTCCCTATTTTTAACTAGAAATTTGCTACCCGGCTCTGTAAAAGACAGATTCAAACTCATTCTTTATTTATTATAATTAATCTTACTACCTGTGTTGTTATGAATTATCTTTGGCTATATGCAATATTTTTAGTCTTTTGTTGGTGGTGTGATGACGAATAAATATTGAGTGATCCATCGTCCTTGACAAATGCAAGTTGAACAGGAAACTGCATTAATAATGTTAAAAGTTGAAAGCTAAAGGCTGAAAATAGCAGTTGACTGAGAAATCACAGCCAGAATAACATGTGCAAATGTCACATCGCTACTGTTCACCATTTAGGAGAAGTCTTGTGACAGACAGAAACATGGATTTCTGTTTTACAGGAGGTAACAGTATTAAAAGGAAATATTATTAGCGATCCATGGAGCCAAGCTGCAATCTAAAGATGGCTGCTGATACCATCTGATGAATTGAATAAATCTTAGATGCAGGTGTCAGAGCAGTTGTTTGAGATTGTATCTGGCCAGAAAATTTTGATAATTCTACGTAGACATGTGTGGTGGAAGGTGGACAGCTTGTGTGCATCCTTTTTGGTCATTCTCCAGCATTCCGCTCCATAAAGAAGCATGCTTGCTTGCCAAGACAGAGGTCTGGGTTCAATACCTAACAAAAAAAGGAATCTAAATTTGGGGGGGGGGGGGGGGGGGGGGGGGGTTTGCTTAGTGTCAACCCAGTTGCATAATAATGGGTGCTGACAATTTTCTGAGAGTTTCCTGTGAAGGAAAGGTAATGAGAAAAGGAAACTGCCTCCCGACCTTGAATGTTACAGCCTTTTTCTTCTTCACTTCCTCTTTACAGCTTCAGGTGTCTAGGTAGATATAAAGTTTTGGTTCTTGCACTTCTGACGGCCTCGAATGCAGACACAATTACTGTAGTAGAGTTTCTCAGATGTTATCATTTCATTTGGTTTTCAGTTTACCTCATGCTCTATATCAGTGTCCTCTTTTGGTATATGTTCTGTATGGATGAAGTCAAAAGCTGCTCTTAAGTTTACTGGGTCGCGTTAGTGCAGTCGATAGGAGACTCGCTTTCAAATCCAGCCACGACTCGCTGCAGCCCACGGACGGTGTCCAAACTGGGCGGTTCCCGGGGTACACCCAGCCTCTAGGAAATGGGTACCAGAGTTGACATTCTGGGGTAAATGGAGGAACGCCGCTGTAGCTACGGAGTTACGTGCGGACGGTGACACAGACGGACAATTTCTTACTGGTGGCAGAGCATTTATGGTTTAAAACCGTGTGCAATGACGCTGGTTCACATCTCCCAACTTTTCTTTTTTATTCCAAGTGCACATGATTTTATTTGGTGTTTTGACATGTAGTTTAGTACTGGTTCTGTGCTGACTTTTTCTCCAATGACCTCATTTCTGATTTTACCTCCTCTGGTCACTCCTGCAGCACTTCTATAAAATCTCATTTCTATGGATGTGAATTTTCTTTTCTGGCTTGTTGTGACTGACCATGTCTGGCACTGGTAGCATGGGATAGGGATGAGTATGCTTTGGGTCAGGTGTCTCTCTTTGCTGATTAAGACCACCTTATGTTGTCTTCTTGTACCTCAACGAAGTGTTGGGGGGAGATGTAACATTCGTTGATGAGCTCTGTCAAGACCACTACTGAGACATGTTTATTTCTCTAAGGCTGTTCTTAATGCACACTCCATATTTCCGAGGTCTTCCACTCGCTCAAAACCTGTTGTAACCTTTAAGTGTGGCTTGCTGTGGTCAGGGCATTCTTGTTAGGTGTCCAAACCACCTCATATGATTTTGTAATTTTGTATTCTGTCTTTCCTTGAAACTCCTGCAGCTCTCTAAGGCATTTCATCACTGTTATCTTCTGTTGGATAGAATGTATAAATTATAAAATGTTACACCCCAACAGCAGTAACTGCTACAGAACTACTTTAACATCGTAATAACTTACAACAATTATACAGTAGCAACCAAACAAGCAGCAACTGTATCAGTCTCCATGAATTTGCTTTCAGAACATCACAACAGGCATATATGCTCTCCCCTGTGTGGGTTCCGGGGCCCCATTGTGGGGAAAACAAGAATAGACCCACTGCCTCCCCAAAAGCATGTTGTAAGAGTCAACTAATTGGGGAGCTTCCTTTGAAGACGGAGTGCGTCTGCCGGAGAGGCAAGGAACCAACAGTCTGTATTCAAGAGAATGAGATCTGTAAAACTGATGCACACGCAACACTCAGGTTCTGGAGCAGGACTGCAGTTCAGTAGTAGACGAGCAACCAGAACCTTCCGCCAGAGTTTACAGCTGGTGAACGCGAAGAAGAAGAAGATATATGCTCTGAATGGATAGACAGCATTGAGAAGATACATTTGATCTGCCACATCTGGATCCACACACCCAGCTATGCTGGAGTAAAGGGTAATGAGCAGACCAACTGGCAAGTAATGCCCCACTTCATGCAGGAAGAGACATTAAGAGCTGATATCACCAATGCTATAAGGACTAGGCTACTAATGAAGTACAGATAAGTCTCTGATACTAACCACGTTGGGGTGACAGCTGCATCAGGGGACCAAGCACATATGGAAACGTCCAACTTGGCAGTGATGCCGATTACGACAACATAAAATAACACATCACACGAAAACAATTACAGCACTTCTACCTTAATGTAAGCAGTTGGATAAATCTTATGGACAGCATCGCCAGGTGCTCTTCCAGCTTCCCTGTCCAGGTAATAACTTTGCACGAACACACTATGGTCACTGACACAGCGGATCCAGACATCCCCTTCTCCCCTGTAGTCAAGCTGCACCCCTTTCCCTATATGCAATCTGTTTAAACATAAGAGTGTATTAACTAATTCAGTTTCATAATAAACAGTGGAAAGGAGCAGCAAACAATGAACATCACAATAAACAGAGATATAAGAACATGTAACAAGATTCTCCTATTGTAGGCGTGTTATGTCGGTGTCTGTGGCTTAGGCGTTGCGAACACGCTTTGTAATGTCAGGGTGCCGGGTTCAATCCCAGCTGCAGACGATTTGTCTTGCGTTGGTTTCGACAGTGGTACCGAGCGCTGACCGTTCAGAAAGCAATGGTAAACTACTGAACGTAAAATTTGCCTAGAAAAACCACAACAGCCAAAAAATGCTGGGGTTGGTTCTGCAACGTCCTGTAAAAGGATACACAACTAACTTATAACAGATAATGGCAGAAGTGAAATAGAAAAAAACAAAAAGGAATCTTTTTCATCTTCTGCTTTTGCCCTTAAAATGGCGGTTTACAACTAAGCTGTGTCATCTGAAGGAGGAAAAAAAAATGATTTCAGAAAAACCTTAAGTATTCATCTCGTACGACATGCCTGTTAGAGGCAGTGGATCTATTTTTGTTTCCCTCAAAATGAGGCCCCACAACCATCACAGGGTGGGAGACAGGGGTGGCTAAACATCTTCAACAGCAAGCAAAAATCACTGACATCTAGAGAGATAAACAACACACTAAACATGAGAACTGTTAAACATCATGTACACCCAACCATGTTGAATGGCGTGTAAACTTGGGAAATGATTAAACACTTATAAAATCAAAAAACATGAGTTAAAAAAAAAAAAAGAATCTATTTCGAATCTGAACCACACAAAAAATGAAAAAAAAAAAAACCTGTATTGAAACTGACATAGAAAAGATTGAAAATGTAACAGATTTGGAATATTTAGGTTCAACAATGAACAACAATGGTGACTGCACAAAAGAAGTCAGATGAAGACTTGGTTTAGCAATGCAGAGGTTAAACAGCATGAAGAACCTATGGCACAGCCCTGCATACAAGTTAAAGTTGAATGTTTGAGGTCATGCATCTTCCCCATGGCAAAAGTTGGGAGGTGGATCCTGGATTCTCACTCAGTCTTGGAAGAAGAAAATCAGAGCTTTTAAACTGAAATGCTACAGAAATGTTCTAGAATACCAATGGACCAAAAAGAAACAAAACATGTCATGGTGGTATGGAGACAACAGTGATGGAGGGTGTTATTTCTGGAAAACGAGGTAGAGGCTTATCTCTGCGAAGGTGGATACAAGACACTGACGATGCACTAGTTGTGAAGGCATACAGGGCTGGAGAATTGGCCAGAGAAAGAGAGACTTTTAAGTGTGACGTGACAAGAGCTACATTTAGTAAAGGACATGTTGATTGATGATGATAGTGAATTATAAAATCAAATGAAGTCTTTGGAGATAAAGGTATACAGAAGAGTTGACTATTTCATGAAAACAAGAACAATACTGAGGTTTTGGAGAAAGGAATGAAAATGCTGCTCAAAGGAATAAAATTAAAAAATGAGAGAGAAAGATGAGTGAAAAATGCCACCACAATAAAAGACATAAGTCTTTTAAAAACCATACAGGAGGGAAAAAACTGAATAAAAGAGAGCAAGAGACAGACTGAAATAAGTGGGAGATCATCAAGAGATGCACAAACAGCAATCTGAGAGAAAGTTCAACCAAGACAAGAGACAGAGAGTGTCAGAGATTTTTTGGGGGGGAGTATAAAAAAGTATAAAAAGTATATCGCAAAAGGCAACTAATTAAGGAATTTCCCTCTAAAGTCAAAGCACACCTGCCTGAGCAGGGAGGAACCAACAGTCTGCATACAATGAAGCCAGATCTGTAAAATGAATGTGCACACAAGCATGAAGCCCTGAAACAAGTCTGAAGTCCAGAAGTGGATGAACAACCAAAACTTTTCGCTAGAGTTTACGCTAGGAGGAAGAACTGCAGCCAATCTTCATTGTAAAAGTGACACCTGACTGATTTATTTATTTCCACCTCCTTCCCCCATAAACCTAAAAAAAAAAATTTGTGCATGAAGATTAAAAAAAAAATTTTTTTTTAGTAACTTGTGTAAAACTGCTTTTCTTTGATGATTTTTTTCTTCCAGGGATTCCTACAGGCACATGATTAATTTGTATGTTTCCATGGTAAGCGGGTTAAAGGCTATAACTGTTTGGAGATAACAGCAATGAAGGGCAGGGTTCCTGGAAAAACAGACAGGGTTTGACCAGCGAAACAGTGGACAACGCGCAGCAAGGACATCCCGGACATAAAGGTTTACAAGGCCAGAAAGCTGGCAAGGCACCAAAATGGCTTTCCAGAAATGAAAACCACTCAAACCCTTGGCCTGCTTGCTATGATGAGAACAATGTTCTGCACTGGACCTGCCGATCATCTTATATTATAAAACTACAAATCCAAGTCTGTCACAAGAACTCCTTCCAAACAGTGACCAATAGAGAAATGAAATTTGCAGGCATCATTCTGGCTGTAATGTCCAGGCCAACTGTATTAGCTGCAACAAGGGTTTTGTGTATTTCTCTTAATGAACACAGCAGTTACAAAGTTAGTACTTACTGGGTTTATTTTGACTGAGGCATACGATGGACTCCATTCACCTTGCTTGAGGACCGTAATTTTGCAGATGATATAGCACTCCTATCACATAAACATGAACATATACAAGAGAAAAGTAACATACTAAACTGCACAGCAGAAATGGTGGAACTAAGAATAAATACAAAGAAAACTCAGATCATGACAAACAATCCAAACCAACAACCAGTGACCATAAGTAACCAATCACTTGAAAATGTAGAACATTTCACATATCTTGGCAGTGTAGTGTCCCTACTGGAAGGGACAGAGGAAGACATACAGTCACGTCTGAACAAAGCTAGAGCTGCTTTTGGAAGGATGAGGCAAATCTGGAAATCCAACAATTACTGCAGAGGAACGAACTCCGACTCTACAAGAGCATCATTTTGCCAGTTCTTCTTTATGGAGCGGAATGCTGGAGAATGACCAAAAAGGATGCACACAAGCTGTCCACCTTCTACCACACATGTCCACGTAGAATTATCAAAATTTTCTGGCCAGATACAATCTCAAACACTAAACTACTTCAAGCCACAAACCAAGAAACTTTAGACAGTATGATTACCAAGAGAAGATGGAAATGGCTTGGCCACGTTATGAGAATGACTTCTGATATACCTGCCAAAACAGCTCTCACATGGACACCAGAGGGAAAGAGAAAACAGGGGCGCCCAAAAACAACATGGAGACGAACGATGGAAAGTGACCTGAGTGCAGCATCTTTGACATGGAAAACTGCACTGAAGATTGCACAGGACAGGAAAGCATGGAAACTTCTCTCTGAAGCCTCATGTGCCACTAGGTATAACGAGAACTGATGATTATGAGTGCATACATATTTGTTTTAATGTTTCTTGAAAATTAGGTTTGACAAAACTATACTTTGCTGTTATCGCCTTTCAAACTTGAAACCTGGACAGGAACTGTCATCTCAAAGACAAAGTAGAGGACAGAAAAATGACATGTTCATTACAGGAAATTAAATCTAGCAAACTATCAAATGCCTGTCAGTCAGACACCATCAGCTTACCTTGCTCTTTCACTGGCTTCAGTTCTGTGTACATTAGACAGCTGGCCAAGGCAAAATCTGTCTATGCTTGAGGGATCTGTATAGCCGTCTACTGTCACCGTTTTTACGTTATATGGAACTTTGAATGTCTCTCCAACTTGCTGATCTAGTTCAAAATACGTCTGTGTGCACCAGTATTCTGGAGCTGCAATCAAAAATGTTGTGTCTGCTGCTTTAAAGAACCACTGGTAATTACAGTTACAAGACACAGAAGACGGTGCTATGTTAGACATATCCTGAGAAGAAATGAGCAGAGAATTAACAAACAGGCACTGAATTGGGAAATAAAAAGGGCCGAGGCAGAGAAGATGCCCAAAAGAAACTCTAAAACAAACTTGGATGACAAAGGCCAAAGAGTGCAGTACTGAACCGATTGCACAGGATTCTCCAAAAAGTTAGTTGCGCATCCTTTACAGGATGTTGCAGAACCAACCCTAACAGCCTGGCTGTTGTGTGGTTTCTCTAGGCAAATTTACATCCAGTAGTTTGCCATTGCTTTCTCGACGGTCGGCTTTCTTGATACCACTGTCAGAAACCAACGCAAGGCGCATTGCCCGCTGCTGGGATCGAACCCGGCATCCCGGCATTACGAAGCGTTGGCATCAACTTAGCCACAGAGCCGACTGCACAGGATAGAATGGAGAAATATCACTGTGAGCCTTATGTGACACATAGTGGCACAACAGGGCAATGATGATGGCTCAAAGCCCCTGACCCTACTTTTCCGGCCACCAAATTTTTTAAAATTTTTTTATTAATAATGTCTGATTATTTGATAATGGTAGCTTTTTAGTGGCGTGTGTTAATAGTTTTACACGTTAAATTAGCAGCGGAAATTCAGTTATCACGGCAACAGCCACCATCTTGAAAAAACACATATGCATGAGGGGAAATCAACAAATAAATCACCAATGGTTGTTTTTAAAAAAACGCTGAACATACACACACACTGTCCCTTTATTTTTCAACATAATTTCCACCAAAACTGATGCACCTGTCCCATTGTTTTATCAGTCCTCCCAAACCAGCTGCATAGAACTGCGTATATAAGATTCAGAGTAGTACTTGAGGTGACCTTTTCAACTATACATAATATGTCCTAGTATATTTGGCAATGGCGGTTGCTATTGCTACTATTATTGCTATACAACAATAATTCTACATATCAGATACATACTCATTAGTATACACTCTACACAATCAAATACAAAATTAAAAACAAGAGACAACTTGTCCTGGTAATGTTTCAACAAACAAAAATTAACATAATTTTCTTTTTTTTCAACTTTCTAAAATTGGTACTTCAGCCTGAGAGTAATCAGGCCATCGCAGTCCCTACTCGACAGTTAAAGGGTCACCCCATAGTTGCTCCATTCCCGTGCCAACGGAAAACCCCACAGAATGCCCTCACTGTCTCTTGTGAAACAAACTGACACAGACTGCTGTCTTACCAAATCAAACAGACATCTTCTGAATATGCAGTCACAGTACAAACCATGTTGGGCACCGTTAAAAAAGCATCCCAAATGAAATCTGCAGCTCACTCTGTCATGCCATGCACTCATCTCAGTAGCGGGGCAATGGAACTATTGCAGCCTGAAAGATAAACACCCAGTGACTCAAAGAGTCACTTCAGAATGCAAATCCAACAGTAGCAAATCCCTTAACCCCTTTTTTTTTTCTTCTTTTGTGTTCACCCGAAGATGTGATTGCACTGTGCCCATTTATAGCACGATTGCGATATTTGCGCCTTTCGGCCAACACATCCAACTTCTGCAGACATTTATTGACTGGATTAGTCCTCCCAGGAACCCCATGAAACCCTACAGAACAGTTATACTGGGGCACCATAAGGTTACAAAGTAACCTTCTGTCTTATTGATAGAACTTTTGATAGAACTATTGATAGAACTATTGATAGAATAATTGATAGAAATCTCATATAACAAAGAGGATAAATACATACGAGGCTGATTGGTAAGTGGAGCATGTGATGCTATATCCGCTTGCATCTGACCTCCGTTCCCTAAGACACAAAAAACAAAACAATCAACAGCTGTCAAATGAGTTTATGAAACTGTTAACTCAACATAGTAAACTATGAAGAGTTAATATTAAATTCAAGAGTATCACCGGATGTTAACCTATTTGGCTAGTCTTACTCCACAGAAAACTAGTTGCATGCCAAAAGCAACTCCACAGCTCCAGCGAAGATCCCTGTGGATTCCTGTAGAAACTGCACTGAATGACATCCATGAAATGAACCCACAACCTTCAGGTAAACCGCCTGATCATTAAGCTAGAGGCACCCCCAAACCCACCCATTATTTCCCCATTACCACGTTAAACTAGTTTATGGTATAGTTAAACTATGAACAATAATGTAAAACAAGGTTCCTCTAGGCCAGGGTTATACAACTAAGTTTAGTCAGGGACCAAATGTTGAAAATAGGGATCGTCACAGGCCGATGACCAGAGCCGTGGCATGAAAAGATCATTAGTGCAATACAAATTATGGATTAAATGGTTTGACAGGCAGTCAGGATGATGTGTAAACAAACTTTTTTTTCCAGAGAACCGAGCCACAGCACAGAAGAATCGTTAATGCAATACAAGTGGCAAATGATCCAGTGGCCACTTGCTAGGCCTCCCTGGGCCTCCAGTTGAACAGCCCTACTCTAAGCTATGCAGTGTTATCCACCGGTCTCATCATAATCATCATGTAGCAGGTCCTGTGCAGAACGTCACTCTCATCACAGTCTGCCTGAAAGAAACTCGGTCTCTTGCCAGTTCTCCCGCCTCATGTACTTTCATACTCAAGGAGTCACTTATATCCTGTGCCCATCTTCGTGTCGGTCGGCCCCTGTCCCTCCTTCCTGGTACCATCCCTTCTGCTAGTTTTTTCCAATCCGTTGTGGCGCTTGATATGACCTAAATATTTCAGCTTCCGAGACAAGATGCTGTTTATTAGCCAATCTTCCTTGATGTTCAGATCTTTTAAGATGTCAATATTTCTCTTCTTTGTCCAAGATATTCTGAGAATCTTTCTATAGCATTTCAGCTCAAAAGCCCCTATTCTTTATCTTAAGGACTGAGAGTTAGTCCACGACTCACACCCGTATGTATCCACCGGTCTACATTCAGAAATTTCTTACTGCCTGTGTGGGGAAATAATGACAGCCGGTGTGATTATGACACCATCCATCAAGCACCCAATGGTTTACAAAAATTATAAGCTACCATTATATGTCAAGTCCACCTCAATGAATAGACATGAAATCTTTATTCTACTTTGGGAAGATATCAAACCAAACGAAAAGTAGGTAGTTAAAGTGCTTTGCTGGGGTAAACAGATTTTAAAATCATCACATTCAACCAGCATCCCTAAAGGGGAAGCTTTAGGTTATAATTGTGACTAGGTTATGTGCGCCGTATAAAATGGCCTAGCATTGCATGCCACCAAGAAGCCTGAAAAGGACTCCTGCAGTGTTGATGCGATCAAAGAAGACAGACCCAAATACTGTCCCTATTGGCAAGCCAGTGGATGATCCGGTCACTGATGTAGTGATAACTAAAAAGTAGAGCCAGCCAGCTTCACAATACTGCAACCACACACAACAAGTGAATGTTGCGGCTAGGAAGCCTTCATCAGCACATTACAGAAATCTACAATGCCACATGTACAAACAAGAATATACAAAATCCCTTAACTGTCAACATAAAGAAACTATCAAAAGTTAAGGTTAAAGATGATCACCGGATGACATCCCAAATTGCTTGGTCTTTCTCCACAGAATAGCTAGCTGCTTGCCAAGAACATTGCACAAAGCACTAATTCCACAGCTGCACCGTGAAATGAACCCATAACCTTCAGGTAAACCGCCTGATCATTTTGCTAGACACCCCCTCTCCCAAATTTTGTTTCCTCCTATCACCACGTGAAACTAGTTTATAGTGAAGTTGATATTTGAACAATAATGTAAAACAAGGTTCCTCTAGGCCAGGGTTATACAACTAAGTTTACTCAGGGACCAAATGTTGAAAATAGGGATCGTCACAGGCCGATGACCAGAGCCGTGGCATAAAAAGATCATTAGTGCAATACAAATAATGGATTAAATGGTTTGACAGGCAGTCAGGATGATGTGTAAACTAACTAACAAATTAACCATTGGCATCAGGTAGTGAGGAAACAGCACTTGAAGTAACAAACCAAATATCAAATAAAACATTTATATTAGGTAGTGAGGAAACAGCACTTGAAGTAACAAACCAAATATCAAATGAAACATTTATATCAGGAAGTGAGGAAACAGCACTTGAAGTAACAATACAAATATCAAATGAAACAGTTATATCAGGTTGTGAGGAAACAGCACTTGAAGTAACAAACCAAATATCAAATAAAGCATTTATATTAGGTAGTGAGGAACAGCACTTAAGGTAACAAACAAATATCAAATGAAACATTTATATTAGGTAGTGAGGAAACAGCACTTGAAGTAACAAACCAAATATCAAATGAAACATTTATATTAGGTAGTGAGGAAACAGCACTTGAAGTAACAAACCAAATATCAAATGAAACATTTATATTAGGTAGTGAGGAAACAGCACTTGAAGTAACAAACCAAATATCAAATGAATCATTTATATTAGGTAGTGAGGAAACAGCACTTGAAGTAACAAACCAAATATCAAATGAAACATTTATATTAGGTAGTGAGGAAACAGCACTTAAGGTAACAAACAAATATCAAATGAAACATTTATATTAGGTAGTGAGGAAACAGCACTTGAAGTAATAAACCAAATATCAAATGAAACATTTATATTAGGTAGTGAGAAAACAGCACTTGAAGTAACAAACCAAATATCAAATTGAAAATTTTATATTAGGTAGTGAGGAAACAGCACTTGAAGTAACAAACCAAATATCAAATGAAACATTTATATTAGGTAGTGAGGAACAGCACTTGAAGTAACAAACCAAATATCAAATGAAACATTTATATCAGGTAGTGAGGAAACAGCACTTGAAGTAACAAACCAAATATCAAATGAAACATTTATATTAGGTAGTGAGGAAACAGCACTTGAAGTAACAAACCAAATATCAAATGAAACATTTATATCAGGTAGTGAGGAAACAGCACTTGAAGTAACAAACCAAAATATCAAATGAAACATTTATATTAGGTAGTGAGGAAACAGCACTTGAAGTAACAAACCAAATATCAAATGAAACATTTATATTAGGTAGTGAGGAAACAGCACTTGAAGTAACAAACCAAATATCAAATGAAACATTTATTAGTGAGAAAACAATACTTACAGTAACTCATATTCTGTGTGTAAACAGGTGTGTTACCATCAACCCAGGTAGCTCCTGAAGCTAAATGATAGAATTATGTCTATTTAATAATGACTTCAAGAACATTTGAACATGCTAAGTTCAACCTGCAGAAGATATAACATAAAAAAAAATACTACCAAAACTGAAGCAATGCTGGTCAGCAGATATCCCAGTCTGCTACATATTGTGTTGAATAGTACTTGTCTGAAGCAAGTTAAAGAATTTAAATATCTAGGAAGTATATTCTCGGAGGATGTAAAACAACATCAGGAAATAGAAACAAGATGCCAACGAGCCAGTGTACTTTTATATCAACTGACACGGTTATTAAGACATCCAAACATAAGTATGAGCACAAAGAAACAGATTATAAACAGCATATTTATACCTCAGAAAAGCCGCCAACTTAGCCATCCGAGACAAAGTTAAAAATGATATAAGACAGACTGTGGGAACACCACCGTGCGACAAATTCATTGAGAAACAGAAGATGAAATGGTTTGGTCATTTATTAAGAATGTAGCCGGAACAACCACCAATCCAGACGCTGCACATAAAAGGATCTGAAGAGTGAAAGCAAGAGGCCGTCCTAGGAGAAGATGGATTAATGACATTAAAGAGCTTCTACATCAACACGGAATGAAAGTAGCCATTGCTGCCCATCAAGCAATGGATCGCAAACTGTTCCTCCCCACAACGCTTAACAGCAGAAGTGGAAACTAATGAAATGAACTGAAATAATGAAGTCTCCAAGTTACAGACAAGAAACTGTACAATTATCTCTATTATTAAAGTCCGTCTGGACAGCTAACCCAGTCAACAAATGCCTGCAGACGTCGGATGTGCAGGCAAAAAGGTGCAAATGCTGTGAACAGCACAATGCAATTACATTTTTTTATGAACATAGAAGAAGAAGCAGAAGCAGCAGCAGCAGCAGCAGAAAAAGAAGAAGAAGAAGAAGAAGAAGAAGAAGAAGAAGAAGAAGAAGAAGAAGAAGAAGAAGAAGAAAAAGAAGAAGAAGAAAAAGAAGAAGAAGAAGAAGAGGACGAGGAGGAGGAGGAGGATAAGAAGAAGAAGAAGAAGAAGAAGATGAAGAAGAAATAAGGCAGTCCTCATGTTATGGACAAGAAATTCTAGAATTATGTCTGTTAAACAATGAAGTCCTCATGTTATGGACAAGAAATTCTAGAATTATTTCTGTTTAACAATGACGTCCTCATGGTATAGACATGAAATTCTAGAATTATGTCTGTTAAACAATGAAGTTCTCATGGTATGAAAAAGAAATTCTAGAATTATGTCTGTTAAACAATGAAGTCCTTATGTTGTGGACAAGAAATTCTAGACTTATGTGTCACCTGGGTAAAGATTTGACATCATTGCATTCACTGCAAGACAAACATATATTAGCTCGGTCTTCCTTGCCTCAACAGCCATTGGAGAGCCTCATTACTGATGCTACCTGTTATCATCTGGTTAACTACTCCTCTTGCCTTACCATCAAGTCTTTAGTAGCACACAGAGTTGCAGGCACTCCCTGCTGCATATCATTCCTCCAGGTAGTCTTTTTCAGTATCCTCCATGAGTTAAGTTGAGTCAAGAATTGACATCACAGCACTCAGGGCATTCCCATGCATGCTCTGTCTTCATCTTCAGCAGCCAGCACAGAGTTCCAATACTGATGGTACAGGTAAGATGACGTCAAGCGCAGAGCACATGCTTTGTAGTTTCAGCTCAGTATCTTCCATTTTACTTGTCCAGCGGAGAGATCACCTCTGCCTTGTGCAGTTGCAGTACACCACCCAAGTGGGGCCAGCCCATCCAATCTAACTGCCTGCTCATTTCCAAATACACCTGAATAGTCGAGCAAAATATCCATGCGAGTCTAACAACATGTGACCTGTAGACTGACGCAACCCATTTTTTACAAAGAAAACCTGATTCCATCTTCCTGAGCATTCTCTGCTAATCCAGTACCGTGTCAATACGTGTGTGCCTGAAATTTCCTCCATCCATCGATCATCCTTGGGCATCCTTCACCCCCGTAATTTTGCAATGAAGCCCAATCCACATTCTGCCCCTAGACACTGACCCATCAGCATATATAATCACAGTCCCCTCAGAGTTGTCCTATATCAGCTGTTGAACCTCTACATATGCATGCCATGTTCACCCATTCCTGCACTCTTGTTACGCCTCTCTGTCCTCTGGTACTTTCACCCATTCTTCTCCGTTGCTAATCTCTTAAATGTCTCAGACACTGTTGATTGTCTTTTCTGTCTGAGCAACAAGGATCTGCCATTTTGAGTCTGCCACCCTTTAGAGTGTCCAATTAGGGCATTCTTTTTTCTGTATTAGATAGTATCTAACTTGCAGTATACCATCTCGGTACTTATCACCCCCCGGCCCCTTGCAATGGTGTGTCATGTATTCCTTATTTTCAATGCGAGATTATTTCCATGTTGTGCTACTTGATGGTTCGGGAGTAGGCAAACTGCGATGTTTTTGTACTCCTATGTATTTTGTCTTTTTCAAGAAGGATGCCACTGAAAAAGAATGTAGAAATACAAAAACATCCCGGTTTCAATACTCACGAACAGATGTGCCTTCAGCGCCTCCTCCTGTATTACTTATAAATTGTACACAGGGGCCTGCAGTGCCTCAAAGAGACACACGACAACACAACCTCCCACAAATATATACGGCGCGTGAGTGAATGCTGAAAAAAGCCATCTCATAACACCACTACAACACAGGACAGGCCGTGCGACCCGGCGCAGCATGAATGGGAAGGGAAGAAACTCTTGTCGTGCGAATGTCTTGTACATACACTGGTGTGTCCCTCATACATCCCAAAATGGTTGTCTTAGCCTGATTCTGTGTGCGCTCCAATTTCTCCAATTGAGACATGGCTAGTATCGGGGCCGCATTAGCGCAGTCGATAAGAGGCTCGCTTTCAAATCCAGCTGCGACTCGCTGCAGCCCACGGTCAGTGTTTGAAACCGGGCGGCTCCCGGGGTTCACCCAGCCTCTAGGAAATGGGTATCAGAGTCAACACTCTAGGGTAAATGTAGGAACGTCGCTGTAGCTACAGAGTTACGTGCAAACGGTGACACAGGCGGACAATTCTTATTAGCTGTCCATACTGGTGGCAGAGCACTTTTGGTTTATAACTGTGTGCAATGACGCTGGTTCACATCTCCCGACTTTACCAATTTTTTTTTTCTTTAGTATCCCCAGGGGATGTTAAATGACTGGCATAATAAGGCACTAGCTGAGTATGTATAACAACTCCTGATCTACATCTGCAACAGCCATAACCTTCAATGTATTAAGGCATCCTCTGCTTCTGACATGACTGCATCAATGGGGTCATTGAAAGACAGACCTCTGTCAAACTTCACTTTGAGATATTTTAGGATGTTTCCTCTTTTGGCCACTTCTTCATTTATCGAGATCTTGAGAACATCTGCTTTGACAAATCTACTGTTCAAGGAACACCATAATTTTGATGCTTTATTTGGGTTTGTTAAAGATCCTGTGTCCCTACACTAATCCTTAATTTTATGGACCACCCCCTGGAGCTCCTCCGACATCATCTTCCTTTCTCTGCTCTGTTTATATGCCAGCGCATCGTCTGGAAATGTAAGCACCTTTCTAATTTCTGGTGCCCCAATTACTGCTATCCTAACTGTGTAGACATTGTAGATTACAGGTGAGAAGGCTGAGCACTGGGGTAAAACAGGTGTGATAGTACACAGATATGAGATCCAGAAGCCCAGGCAAATCGCTATCTTATAATCACACAGGACTGCTGCCATACAGTTAACAATCCAGGGACAGACTTTGCATATTTAAAGTCCTCAAGTTACGGACAAGAAATTCTGGAATTGTGTCTACTGAATCATGGTCCTCAAGTTATGGACACGAAATTCTGGAATTGTGTCTACTGAATCATGGTCCTCAAGTTATGGACAAGAAATTCTGGAATTGTGTCTACTGAATCATGGTCCTCAAGTTACGGACAAGAAATTCTGGAATTGTGTCTACTGAATCATGGTCCTCATGTTTTGAACAAAAAATTCTATATTATGTCCATTAAATATTTGTTTTCATGTTATGTAAAGAAATTTTAGAACTGTTTCTACTGAATTATGGTCCTCAGGTTATGGACAAGAATTTCTAGATTCTAAGAAAGATAACTTAAATGAAAGTTTGTTCAAGAAAGATAACTTAGATGAAAGTATTTTTCAAGAAAGATAAATTAAACTGTTTCAGAAAGAAAACTTAAATTAAAATATGTTAAAGAAATATCATTTAGATGAAAGTATGTTTAAGAAAGTTAGATAAGTGAAAGTTTGTTGTCCAGACTTTTTAGCTGCACTTTTCTAGAGAAAGATATCTATTATGGAAGTAAAAGTGCCAGATTTTTTCAGACAATTTGCATTAAAGTATGTTGGCCAGGCATGTTAAGGTTACACTTCACCAACGAATGATAACTTTTAAAGTAAGAGGGGACACAAAAAAGGGAGTGAAGGACACCAAAAAAAAAAACAGGAGAAAGGCACGCATACAAACATACAAAGAAAGAGGGGAACAAAAATGTAGGGGGAAACAAAGAAGAGAAACTGAAGAAGAATCAAACCCTCCACCTTGTGGATAATGCCGTAAATTTGCTTGGTTCTGGACAGGTCTTGCGTATGTTTCTGCTGCCATGCTGGCGTGGGTGTGGCCGAGAGGGTGACTGGCTGCCGAAGGAACTCCTAAAGGGCTAGGATGTGAACTCATGCCACTTGTGCCTTTAAATATAATCAATTACAAAGTAGGTAAAGATCACAAAGAAATATTTTAATGTTAGGCTCGACTAGCATTTTATAGTCCCATTATTTATTCATTTACCATCCAAAGTAATTTCAAGTTCATTCTGCCCGACTATAATTTTCCCATTAATAACATAGAAAGTTGTTACTCTGACACCTACTGACTTAGTTGTTACTCTGACAACATTTCACTTTCTGACTCTGACAGTTGATAATCTGAAATCTTCTTACTCAGGGAGCTGTTACTTTGATATCTTCTTCAGACAGTTGTTAACCTGACATCTTCAGCCTCAGGCTGCTGTTATTCCTTAGGTGAGGGCTATTCAACAGATGGCCTGCGAAGACCTAGCAAGTGGCATGTGGATCATTACCAGTTAAACTGTATTAATGAACTTTCAATACCTGGGCTAGGGCCTCTGCCCCGTGACAATTCACATTTTCAACAATTGGCCCCTGAATAAACTTATTTAAAAACCCTATCTTTGACTTCTAAAAAAAAAGCGTCTTTTTTTTTACATCTTTTGACTCAGAAAGTGGTTTCTTTGATACCTGCTGACTCAGACAGCTATTACTTTGACACTTGCAGATTCAACTGTTACTCTGACACATTTTGATTGAGATTACTTTGACATTTCCAGACACACACTGCTCTTATTCTGATATCTATTGACTCAGTTGTTATTCTGACACCTGACTCAGGAAGTTGCTAACTGAAAACCATCTAACTCAGATAGTTGCCACCTCCTGACTCAAGTTACTTGGTCAGCCGACTCCAACAGCTGCTACTCCTGACTCCTGACTCACACAGTTATTGCTCTGACACCTTCTGATGCAAACAGTTGTCATATTCAATTGACACGCTGGGAAAGAGATTGGCATGCACAGAACCGTACTTATAAATGCTCCAAACAGAAAAAAAACTTCAAAAACTGATCTCAGTCATGGGTTCTCACACTTCCTTAGCATGGTGCTAGATCCCCACAGATAAAATCAATTCCATAACAATCAGTCATGATGTTGAGCATCATCATCTTGTGGCATCTATACACCACATAGGGTTCGGAGTCTTGTGCTACGATCTCGATGATGCATTTCTAAGTTTATTCAAATAAGCCTCTCTCCCTCTCTTGGGCACTCTCTCTCTCTCTCTCACTCTCTCTCGTCCGCCCAAGATTACCTGTTGAAAATTGTATAAATAAAATACCATCTGGAGGTCAGAAGGGCAACATGTTAGCTGTGCCTCTATGCCCTAACCTGAATTATTTGAGGGGAAAAGTTTGTTCACTGACATTTGCTCATTCCATCTGTTGATTTTTTCAGGCATCATGGTCCGTTCCAATGCACAAATGCTAATCGGGCTGCCTTTACTTCCAAGAAAGTTTCCTCACACCAATTTTAGACTGAGCTGACTTAGGAGTTCAGATCAATAATACAAAATCTGCATGGATGCAAATTTTGACCTAAGATATATCATCCTTATCACCAATACCACCATCATTATCATCATCCCTATCATCATCATACCATGACCATCATTATCACCACCACCATTATCTTCATCACCCTTACCATCATCTTCACCATCATTCTCATCACCACCACCATTATCATTCTCATCACCACCAACATTATCATTCTCATCACCACCAACATTATCATTCTCATCACCACCAACATTATCATTCTCATCAAAACCAACATTATCATTCTCATCACCACCAACATTATCATTCTCATCACCACCAACATTACCATCACCACCATCATAACCCCCAACATCATCACCACTACCACATCACATAAGGCTGTCTGTCTAATTCTCCATTCTATTGTATCCTGTGCTATTCTCTCGATATCATGAAATGAATCCAGTCCAGCACCTTTGGTCACTCTCAATAACATTCATCTTAGAGTTTCTCTTGGATGGCCTCATTTTCTCAATTTATCTCTTTCCCATTTCAGTGCCTGCTGTGTGACTCTTTGTTCATGTCTCCTTAAGATGTGCCCAGTATACTCTGAACATATGTAATGAAGTTAAAAGCATTACAAGAAAACAACTGGCTATTAACTTTGTTAGTACATAATAGACAGCATTAGAACTAACAAAAATGTTAATATCAAACAGGATGCTTTCTACAACAGGCAGGAAACAGATTACAACAAAGCAATATGTTAGTAGCCATAAGATCTTCATCACCAACTGCATTGCCAGCTGGCACAGGCGTTCATGCGCCTCTATAGATCTCGGTCTTAGGTGTTCTGGATCAATTCCACAGATGATAATCCTTCATGCCACTGACTTAAGCCATTCCCCATCATTTCTCTTGGTCTGCCTCTGCCTCTTCTATCAGTGATCTTTCCAGGTGTCACAATATTTTCCAGTGCTCCTTTTCTCATCACATGACCAAAGAACTTTGTTTGTCTCCTCACTGTAGCATATAATGTTCTACTTGACAATTTCCAGGCAATCATTGTTAGTTATAGCCATAACATAGAAGTATTAAATATGTTAATAATAGGGTTAAGATATATGTTAGTAATGCAACAGGTCATGTTGAGTAGTAACATTCACAAGAGCTCAATATTCAAACACAGCAGAATAATGTGTTCTAACAAAGCAGATAGAAAATGGTATTTATCCAAAGCGGAAAGCTGTAAATGAAAAGCATTTATGTCACATACAATATACACAAATTACAGACAAATAAAAAGAGGGGGAAATATCAGAAATACAGTGTGGGGAATTAGAACATGATACCCCCCGTGTGGGTTCCGGGGCCCCATTGTGGGGAAAACAGGAATAGACCCACTGCCTCCCCAAAAGCATGTCGTAAGAGTCGACTAATTGGGGGGCTTCCTTTGAAGTCGGAGTGCATCTGCCGGAGAGGCAAGGAACCAACAGTCTGTATTCAAGAGAATGAGATCTGTAAAACTGATGCACACGCAACACTCAGGTTCTAGAGCAAGGCTGCAGTTCAGTAGTGGACGAGCAACCAGAACCTTCCGCCAGAGTTTACAGCTGGCGAACGCGAAGAAAAAGAAGAAGGAGAAGAAAAAGAAGAAGAAGAAGAAGAAGAAGAAGAAGAAGAACATGACAGCATTACACAGCAAGAAGAAAACCAATGACAGAAATAGAATAATGGAAAACATAAGATTTAGTTTGCAGAAGTAGTCCAGGACAGTAAGTAAAACAAACAATAGAAGCAACAACAACAAAACCAGGGGAAAACACATGATAACAAATATAATCTGTGGAATTAAAACATGACAAAAGAGGACAATAAGAAGTCCATGGGTGGGTTCCAGTGGCATCACTATGGTGTATGTAAAAGCAATTTTTATTTTCCTATTTTTTTTAAAGACTCATTTCTCCTCTACCCCCCCCCCCCCCCCCCCCACCCCCCCCCCTTCCCCCAAGCATGTCCTAAAATGTAACTAGGATAGAAAACAGTAAATTGAAAAAAAAACATTGGACAAAACAGCAATTAAAAAACCTACAGTAAATGGAAAGCAGATGAGACAGAAAACAGGAAGTGGAAAACAACGGACACATAAAACAGTAAATGGAAAGCACCTGAGACAGAAAACAGCCAGGGGATATCACATGACATTGAAAAAAGTCATTGGAAAGTCTATGCAAAGAATGCTGTAAGACACACACCAAACACAGACAGCAGTTAGTGAAAAACATGCAAGCACAGAAGAATGTTAACACAAAACACAGTAGCAGAAAACAATGGAAAATTCATAAGAGCATTAAATGTCAGGTGAGAAAAGAAAACAGCAAACAACAGCAGAATGCAATTTGCATACATGAGCAATAAACTGGGGTGAGCAAAATGAACAAAAGCAGTAATTCTGTCATAAAAATAGAGAACTGATAGAACAGGTGTTAAATATGATTATTAAGATAACAAAAATATCCAGTTTAAAAGTATTAGATGTGAAAGCAAAATTCATTATCTTTGTGACAATTACTATTCAGAAATCAAAGTTTTAATGCAGCTCTGGGTAAGAATATAAGTTTATAATAAAGGGCATGTGGTATTTCATTATTTAATAACACAGATAACCAACTCATTTCAGTTACAACAAATCTCCTTCCTCAGTATTTTCCAGAACAAAGGATGCAATAGGTCAAAATAATCAAGTGTCTTGCCAACTATAATTAGCGGTAATGCATCTTGCAGTCTCCAATGACGTGTATCAGTTCATGTGCTGACACTCTTCATGCTTATGGACTTCCGCGCTGATTTAGGGGTGTCTTGGGGTGTTGTTCTGTCATGTAGGCAGAATGTGTGATGCTTTTCCCCATTCATGCAATCGCCAACAGCATGTATTAGTTCCTGGGCTGACACCTCTCCATGCCATGATAAAAGGCTGCCAAGAAACTTTTTTGTGTTGTCTTCCTCTATCTCTTTCCACAAAAGTTTCCAGTTGTTATAACATGTTCCAGTTTTTCCTTTCTTATAAGCAGCTAAAAGATGATGATTGCCACTTTCTGATTGCTGCAGTAAATTGTTTTCAGGTGTTAGCCTCCTTCAAAACATCTTTCTCTTCTCCTTCTTGGCTTCCTACAGTTACTTCACTGAAGTGTAGAGGGAAAGGTTGGAATGGAGGTTGCAAAGATCTCCTGTGTGCTCTTTTTCAATGTGTTGCAAAAGTTGGTCTTCAATACTTTAACTGTTTCTTGATACTGTTGTTCCATTTTCTACATGGACTTCCCCTTGCTCTGTGTCCATTATACTTCTTCAGCATGGTTCTCTGTGGCAGCTGGTATGAGGGCATTTTCGTCAGATGGTCAAACCATCTCATCTGCTGCTCTTAAATAGACTGTTAGGCTGGTTTCAGCCATAGTCTTCCGATTTCTCCATTTCAATTTTGTCTCTTCTTGTTTATCTGGCAGCTTTTCTAAGACATCTCAGCTCTGTTTTCACCAGTTTTAGTAAGGCTCCATGTCTGACACCAGTGGCATAGAGGGCCAAAGTTCTAATGAGATTTGCCTTGCTAGTATGCAAAGGTTAAAAACATCTGAATTGTTAAAAAAAAGGTACATGTGCAAAATTCAACATCAGACAAACAGAACATTTGCACTCAGAGAATTTTGCAGTTTATATTATGATCAAGCTAAGCAAAAAGCAGCTGCAACAAAGATATCCAGGAGCATTACAGCCTGTACACCTGAGCTAAAATAATCTTTGTTTTTCCTTCCTTTCAAATATTTATCCCAAACTATATCCTATCTGGCGATTTAAACAAAAACACACAAAAATTCCAGAGAAGATACCATTACAGGGATGTCACCGTATGAGTGACTGATAGATTAACCGACTGATCATCTGCCTAATGGACTGACTGATTGTTGATACTGATGAATTTAATGAAGATGAAATGACAGTTTAATTGACTGACGGGATGATGCATTGATCAACAGACAGACTTGACTGCTAGGTAGACTGACTGATTAAGTGATAGCTTGATTAACTGAAGAATTGATTAAAAGACTTTTGAGTCAACAGATTCATTGATTGATGGATTTATTAAATTATGTATGACTGATAGGTTGACTAAGTGACTGATTGAATGACTTGCGAGTCATCTGACTAAGTGATTTAATGATGGACTGATTAAATGACTTATGAGTTGACTAAGAGTGACTGACTGATTAAAGTACTTATGAGCGAAATGAAAGGATAACTGATGGGTTTGTTGACAAGTTAAGTAAGACTGACTGACATACTGATTTATTAAACAATTTATTATTGGATGATCGACTAACATTAACTGACTGATAGTTTGACTGATGTATTGATTAAATGACTTATAAGTTGACTGATTGATTAAAGGAGCATTTTCATAGCAGTTGAAATGAATCCATTCCTTGAGGCTCAATCTCCCTTTGAAATCACAATATTTGTATCTCAAAAGGATGCATGACCTCTGCAGCACTAGCAGGGATCCCAATAAAACACATACCAGAATTACCCACTGATAAATCTTGAGTCTGGGTCAACGTGTAGCTAATTTTGCATTATATAAACAGAGGATCTGTAACCAGTAACACTAGTGGTCATGAAAACTGCAAGAGCCTGGACAAGTTGGGATGACACTGATGATAGAAATGGACAAGGAGATGACAAGTGTGTGATCTGAGAGTAACTAATCACTGGTGACTGGCTGATCAAGACAAATTACAAATGGTGGCTGTGATAGAAGCAACTATTCAACACCGGTGATAGAACTGATCAAAAAATTTACAAATTTGTGGCTGTGATGGGAGCAACTATTCAACACCGGTGATAGAACTGATCAAAAAATTTACAAATTTGTGGCTGTGATGGGAGCAACTATTCAACACCGGTGATAGAACTGATCAAAACAATTTACAAATGTTTCGGCGTGATGGGAGCAACTATTCAACACCGGTGATAGAACTGATCAAAAAATTTACAAATTTGTGGCTGTGATGGGAGCAACTATTCAACACCGGTGATAGAACTGATCAAAGAAATTTACAAATTTGTGGCTGTGATGGGAGCAACTATTCAACACCGGTGATAGAACTGATCAAAGAAATTTACAAATTTGTGGCTGTGATGGGAGCAACTATTCAACACCGGTGATAGAACTGATAAAAAAATTTACAAATGTGTGGCTGTAATGGGAGCAACTATTCAACACCGGTGATAGAACTGATCAAAGAAATTTACAAATGTGTGGCTGTGATGGGAGCAACTATTCAACACCGGTGATAGAACTGATCAAAGAAATTTACAAATGTGTGGCTGTGATGGGAGCAACTATTCAACACCGGTGATAGAACTGATCAAAAGAAATTTACAAATTTGTGGCTGTGATGGGAGCAACTATTCAACACCGGTGATAGAACTGATCAAAGAAATTTACAAATTTGTGGCTGTGATGGGAGCAACTAATAAACACCGGTGATAGAACTGATCAAAGAAATTTACAAATTTGTGGCTGTGATGGGAGCAACTAATAAACACCGGTGATAGAATTGATCAAAAGAATTTACAAATTCGTGGCTGTGATGGGAGCAACTAATAAACACCGGTGATAGAATTGATCAAAAGAATTTACAAATGTTTGGTTATGAAGAGAGTAACCAAAAAACACTGATGATACTAAATCAGCTTCAAAAAAATAACCTATGCATGGGCGAGTCTCTCTCTCTCTCTCTCTCTCTCTCTCTCTCTCTCTCTCTCTCTCTCTCTCTCTCAATCTCTCTGACAGAATAATTCAACAAATGATGGTAGCTAAAAAAAACCCGTGCTGCTGCCTTGCTTGGTGTAAGTTGTTTGTATCAGTGCAAACAGATCAAAGGAAAGCTCTTGTATGCAGACAGAAAGAGACCCAATATGATTTAGCCATACAAGTGTTAAATATGAGGCAACAGCGTTAGGTACACAGAAAGTTAATACTGGAAAAGGTTAGCAACATCATGCCCACCACCAAGCAAAGACCATACACCGCTGGTCAGATTTGGAAACTCACTTGGACGGGACAAATCTAGCCTGGGAAGGACTTGCTGTGCAGGAGACACTGGCTGATTGACTGGGGAGTTAAGCGGGTGGTGGGGGCGGGACAGGGACCCCCCGCTGTCGGAGCGCCCGAGAGGGGCCCCCATGGGACTGCCCCCTACTATGCTTACATTAACAGCAGGCATCTGCTGTGAGGCGGCCCCAGCTGAAACGCTGCTGGTGGCTGACGAAGGGGAAGGGTGTGAGGAAGGGAGGACTGTGGTTGCTGCTGGTCTGGAGCCTACATTCAAACCAAAAGAGAAAAATCATCAACACAACAAAATATGACATGTCACTACAATATCCTCAACTCAATCAATATAATAATGGCAAAATATGATCATTAAATGTTACATTTTGACATTAAACATGTTCATAATTAATACTTCTGCTCTTTAGAAAATAAGACACTGAAAAATAAACAAGTCATTCTGTCTCCACGAATGTTCCATGTGTGGCTGCCTCTTCTGTATGTGTACCAATGAACATCAGTGATTGGCTTTTCTCTATCTGTGCTCATTAAAACTGCATGTGTGATAGGCTATTTATCTATCTGAACCATGCACAACTTATGTGTGACTGGCTATTCTCTATCCATCTCATGGGTGATTGCCTATTCTCTATATGTACCATATATGTACCATTAACTTCTCATGGGTGATTGCCTATTCTCTATATGTACCATTAACTTCTCATGGGTGATTGCCTATTCTCTATACGTACCATTACCATCTCATGGGTGATTGCCTATTCTCTATATGTACCATTAACTTCTCATGGGTGATTGCCTATTCTCTATATGTACCATTAACTTCTCATGGGTGATTGCCTATTCTCTATATGTACCATTAGCATATCATGTGTGATTGGCCATTCTCTGTATGTACCATTAACTTCTCATGGATGATTGCCTATTCTCTATATGTACCATTAACTTCTCATGGGTGATTGCCTATTCTCTATATGTACCATTAACTTCTCATGGGTGATTGCCTATTCTCTATATGCACCATTAGCATATCATGTGTGATTGGCCATTCTCTGTATCATGAACATCTATTCTCTATCTAGACCATGAACATCTTATGTGCAACTGGCTTTTCAGTGTGCATGGAGTTACCTTCATCTCTATCCCATTACATGTGGATGACACTGACAATAAAACAGCTGATAGACTGGCCAGCTCTGCCTTAGTGGCAGATGGCCATCCTATGGATTGCACTGAAATGGTAAATGCCTTTACAGACAGCACAATCAGAGCATTCTGCGAGCAGAGCATCCACACTATTTCTAGTATTGCGAGAACTGGGAGTAAAGCTCAGCATAGCTAAACATGAGTGACACATGGTACATATGAGAAGTCTTGTCAACCAGCCTAGGACTGGCACTATTAACCACAGGATGCTGATGTATATGCTGAAGGGGGACTGAACACCTTAGAGCATGTCTGGTGTGCCATGAAGACAACCCAACTCTAAAAACTCTTTACAGTAGTTTCCCCTTTACAGCCATCCTGCTTCAGACTACATTATAAGCCTTTGGCAGGCTTTTCATCTTCCATGGTGACAAGTCAAGTAAAGGACTCTGTCACACCTTGGGCACATCGGGCATATCAAGCTAGACTTACATCTATGAGGTCAATATCATGCCAGCCACCTTTACCTCCGAGAAAATTACCTCGTACCCATTTTAGGCTGGGTAGTATCCAGGGTAACATTTGTAAATACTTTGACTGTATTAAACACTGTAATGGCTTAGAAAGAACAACAATGGAAGTCCTGGTTCTTGGAAGAAGAGGAAGTGGTGACTCTTGAATCTTTACTAAGATGCAAATGGGATAGTGGAGAGGAGTCATGTCTGGCATGGAAACACAAAAGGCAGGGAAACTGGCAAGAAGCTCAGAGACTTTCTGCTTGACTGTCATGGAAGCAATGTTCAGCAAAGGATCTCCAACATGATGATAATACGTTAGGATTTAAAGTTAGAAGATCGACTTCAAAGCACTAGTTTTTATTGTGTATTTATTGTGTCTTTCTCCGCAAAATGGCTAGCCGCCTACAAAAGCGGCACATAAAGCAGAATCTCCATAACTCCAGCATTGATTCCAGGAATCTCTGTAAATACTGCACTCACAAACCTAAGGACCCAGATGTAAAGCTAACCCACTACCTTCTCAGCACGAGACGAATGGCTTGACCATCTTGCCATGGAGACTCCCAATACAAAGCATACATGGAAAGAGAAGAAGGACGTAGAGCACGGGGTAGACCAAGAACATGATGGAAGGATAACATCAGAGAAACTCTACAACAGCACAATGTGCCTATGGTCGAGGCAGCCAGAAGAGCTAGAAACAGAACCTTATATCTCCCTCGACACCCATAGCGGTAAAAGAGGAAGTGAAGAAGAAGAAGAAGAAGACTTCCAATGCAACAGGATAATGATGATGATAATGAAACAAATAAACAGGGCCTCTTTCATGCCTTTGTTGTGTAGTGCTAGATCTTATATTTTTACAGACCAACAAGTAGCACTCAACGGGTAGTGTGGTCAACATCATGCCGGAAATCTGTACCTGCTACCACTTCTGGATGGGTCTACCTGGGAGTTAGGCTGCGTATCCTTTACAGGACGTCGCAGAACCAACCACAGTATTTTTTGGCTGTTTTGGTTTTTTTAAGGCTAATTTACATCCAGTAGATACCAATGTCAAAACCAACACAAGGCGCAAGGCCCAGTCTGGGAGCCAAGATGAATTACGATCAAAATCCTCCCCAATGTGGACTTGAACGTAGCACCTTCAGGCTGGCAGGCAAGTAAGTCACTGCGCTCAAATTTTGTGAAGTGCAGGTATTATATTCTTGTTTATCTTGACATCAGGAAACACCCACAACGTTTACTAACAGTCACAAATGGTAACTAATTTGCTACACTTCTATCGCACATGCATAGTCAACGACAGCCAGTTTTCATCACTACACCATAAAACTGACACATACACAGCATACAGGGGATAAAACAAGGAAACATTACAGAAATACTCAAAGGACACTGAGTGCAGCAAACAAAGGTAGAAACATCAATCTCAACAGTATGAAAATTGTTGATCAACCGTATCAACATAAATATGTGCCACAGTGGCGTAGTGGTTAGTAGCTTCTTGACCTGTCTGAAAGTCTATGGTGGAAATCTCCATTTGGTGTTTTTATTTATTTTTTTTTTTTTTTTTCAAAACTGACCTTTGCTCTCAGGATGACTCAGCCTAAAATGAGTACCAGGTAATGTCCTGGGAAGTAAAGGTGGCCAGGGTAATGATGACCACATCACCCACCCAGTGCTGACTGGTCTATACAAATATGAGTTTAGAATCATATGCCCGGGACACTATAGACTTTAAAAAAAAAAAGGGCCCTTTAGTTTTTATAAAGCTAAAGTTAACTCCATAGCCGATACTATAGTTGGGTGAGAAATGTAAGGCCATTATTCTCTCTAGGCCATCGCATCTGGGGTGGTAAGACCAGTTCCCTTCCTCATCACCTTTATGAACATTGCTGATTAACCATGTTGCCCTAGGAGTGCTATAAATACATGAGGCATGACCAATGCGGGAATTTCCTAAGTCTGTTTTTTTTTTTTTTCTTTTTCTAATTTGTTTTATTTTCCTGTGTATTTGTTACATTTTACCCAAAATATATACAAATATATAAAGGGAGTTATCCATAAACACAAACAGAGTAAAGCATTAAATAGAATACATTCACGAGGACTTAAAAAACAATATGTATCAGAGTGACCCATGCTACAACCCAGTGACCTCTATCAATAAGGCTTGAGGAAAAATATGGGGGGCCAAAAAATTTCCTGAACCATTTTTCAATCTTGATTGAAATACTGGAAGACCACTACAAGTAATCTATATAAACAGACAATATAAAATGCTACAAATTTAAGAAGCCTTCAATTTCAAAATAAAATAGAAAAAAAAAAAAAAAAATAGCAAATAACTGGTTGTTAAATCAAAAATAATTTTAAAGGGCACACTGGCAACTGAATGCGGTGTGGTTACAACTGTGAAGAAACAGACAGGAGGTGACAATAAACAATGCATAAAATCGTGATGCATATTTTAGCTCTTTCTCCCTTCCCCATAACTCCTTGATAAAATGTTTAAAGTATCAGCGTAAAAAGCCTACTCTCTCTCTGAAAATCTGTTATTTCTTAACTTTAAACTGTCTGTAAAATACGCAAATCCTACCTGGCAAATGCAAAAATGAGTCAGACGGTGGGTGCTGGACAGTCTGTGTCTCGCCAGCCAATTGAGCATGGTCTGCGATGGACATGGATGCACTGCTGCTGTATTCATCCTTCACAAGACGGCCGGGAGGGCCTGCGGATGAGATACCAACTGGGCAATGAAAGCAGACTCACATGCACTAGTGAACAGAAGGTGAGAGGACAATCCACTCACCACTGAATAGAAGCAAAGAGAAGGATTCGTCAAAAATTTAGTTTAACTATATCCAGCCAATACAAATATAAGGCTGAGATCGTTTATGTAAAGTTCTCCGTTTTCATTGTATCTTTCGTATTATAGGGGGGCTGTGTGGTCTCGAAGCATGGTGTCCGCCTCAGGTGCTAGAGGTTCCAGGTTCAATCCCCGGTAAGGGCTAGGATTTTTTTTAGGTGGATTTGGACTTCTAGTAAGTCCCCCTGGTCTCTTGATAGTGAGATCGGACGTCCATGTGCATTGTTGCGCACACAAAAAAATCCCTTGGCAGTTGGAAATCGAAAAGATTAGCCTAACGGCACTGCCCAGGCAAAATTTGGAGTTTAAAATCTAAACAAAGTATTTCAGGATCCTCACCGGTGCTACAGAGCTTGTGTAATGTGCTGAGCTTCTTCGGACTCAGATTTGAGTTAGAAGAAAAATGGAGCACTTGTGGGTTTCTATGTGCCCTGATGTTGATTCATTGTTCAAATCCTCAAAAACTTTTTCTTTTTGTATTATTTTGTTTGCAAATGATTTACTTTTTGAGCGGCAAGATCCCTGGAAAAAATCAGAATTTTGTAACACTTCTGAATTTCTAATTATATTTGTTAAACTAATCTTTCCTTATAATTATTTAAGGATGCTTTCTAGTTCTGAATTCAGATCACCATATTATCCATTTGTTTTTGGCAGTATCAATACTTTTTAACTTTAGTGATTATCACAATATCGACCCAACAGATGCTGGATGGACCAATGAAGCGAATATAAATAATGAGTATACAAAAAATATACCTCACAATGTATGGTTGTGGGATGCTACATTTGAGACATGAAAAAAGCATTCCTGTTGTGAATTTCAAGAAGGACAAGCAAACAGTTAGACATAGTCATCCCCATGTGGGATGCAATTTTTTGTTATTTGAACTCCCACCTTGGCTTCTGCTGGGGGCCCTGAACATAGCCGGGGCATAAATATGGCCTAGCCATAGATATGGCCTAACGACTGAAAGGGATTTCTGGGACCTCTCCACAGGTGATCGTTATCCGCATGGTGGCACTTTGTGTCGCCAGGCGTTATCACTTGTGTGATGGCCTCGTGGGGTACAACTACCTACCTATTGCACAGTTTATTATTTAATCACTATGTGATTTCGGTTGTTGGCGTTTGTGGTTTAGGCGTTGCGAACGAGCTTCATAATGCTGGGGTGCCAGGTTCGATCCCAGCTGTGAGCCTTGTGTTGGTTTCAACAGCTGTATCGAGAATCCGACCGTCCTAAAAGCAATGGCAAATTACTGGACGTAAATTTGCCTAGAAAAACTACAACAGCACAAAAAAAAAGCTTGATTTGGTTCTGCAAGGTCCTGTAATGGATACGCAATTAATTTTGTTTTTTTCAATTCCGATTACAATGTTTAATTTTTCTGGGGTTCATTTACTGAAGGTCGATGTAAATTCTGTAGTAAGCACTAGCTACAGCAAAATACCATCAATTAACAGGTCCTTTACACAAAGTGCTCTCATAACAGCAAATCTGGATGTCTGTCTTTCTCTAGCCAATTCTCCAGCTCTGTGTGCTTTCATAGCCGATGCCTCTTTAATGTCTTTATCTATATTTCTGGAGGTCTGCCTCATTTCATTTTCCGAAAGCTACACCCTCCATCACCATTTCTTTCCAGGCTATCATGACCTTAAACAAGGCGTATCTATGCTACCCAGCCAGGATGCTGTTTATGAGCCAATTCTCCTCAATGTTTCTCTTCTTCTTGGTCCATGGTACTCTAAGAATGTTTCTGTAGCATTTCATACAGGAAATAAACCGAGTTCTGTTTATATAGATAAAATAGGTACATTTTATTTTTCTGAGACACTAACAACCATGTTAAATATCTTGAGGCTGTACATTTGTTTTTGGCCCACTGAAGTATTAATTTATACTTAGTAAAGTAGCACAGGCTAAGTGCATCTGAAAACATATGCCTGAGCAAAATGCTGAACATAAAATGGGATAAGAGAGACCAGAGAAATGTCTCAGCAATCACTGGCAACAACAGTTATAAGACAATGGTATGCTGGACATATCCCCAGAAGAATCCAGCAGGCAATCAGCAAACAGGCACTGAAAGGGGAGCTATCCTCTGAATAACAGTCCTAAGTTATCAAGGCCAAAAATATACCCTAACAGGACCTCAGTCACATGTCAATTGCGGACTTCCGGCGACTACTGCCACCGCCGAAAGTATCTACCAAGCCGCTATGCGTGGCGTGGAGCGGGGCTAAACTAGATGGCTGGGACTCACGGGCAGCAGCTACCGCATCTCCTGCAGCTTCCTTCATTTTATTTGATTGTGAGTCTCAGCCATCTAGTTTAGCCCCGCTCCACGCTGCACGATACTCTCGGCGGTGGCAGTAGTCACCTGAAGTCCGCAATTGACATGTGACTGAGGCCGTGTTAGGGTATATTTTGGGCCTCGTAATTTGGTACCGTTCGTTATTCACAGGATAGCCGAAATGGGAAACGAAAGGATTGAGAAAGTGTCAACATCAAGAAGAAACACTAAAATGAACACTCAAGAGAGAAGACAAAGGTGCTGGACTAGATTTCATCCATGATATCCCAGGAAATGAACAAAACAGAGCAAAGCAAACAGAGACTGCAAACCCTATGTGACCTATAACAAAACAACAGAACAATGAATGAATGAAACTAGTATAGGTCACACCATTAGCTCACAGGCCATATTGTGCTAGACTCTTATTGTAGAGACTAATCAGTGCTCAATAAACGTATGATCAATATCGCACTGGGCACCGCCACAATCGGAAAAACTGGTCAAGTAAAGCACCTAATTTCATATACGCCAGGTAATATTAAAAGACCTATTCTGGAAACTGCACTATTAGTAAGATCAAACTGCCAGGACACCACCGCCCCAAAACTATGAAAACTTGCTTATCTTGCAAAATAATTTTCATCCCTCTAACGCTCAGAAATTTGGATCTAGCAAAAGTTTCAACAACAAATTTTTTTGGCAACTTTGATAACTATTTTTTTTTAACTATAAAACCCCACATTGTTACTCTATAAAACTTTTTTTAATCCAACACCTTTAGTTTATCCGATACAACTATGAAACCCCTGTAGATGATTACTTAACTAACGTGACAATCACTCCAACCGCACACCCTAAATTGCTCAATACAACACTTAAAGACAACATGAAGTCTACATGCAGGGGAAACAAAACAGAACTATTGGTAAAACAGTTTGTACAATTTCATGTCTGACGGGCAGAAGTTGTAGCATTTGACCAACAATATCCTGTTCAGCCTTTCTCGGTTCCAATTTAGTTGTGTACAATTTCATGTCTGACAGGCAGAAGTTGTAGCATTTGACCAACAATATCTTGTTTAGCCTTTCTTGGTTCCAATTTAGTTTTGTACAATTTCATGTCTGACAGGCAGAAGTTGAAGCATTTGATCAACAATATTTTGTTTAGCCTTTCTTTGTTCCAATTTAGTTTTGTACAATTTCATGTCTGACAGGCAGAAGTTGTAGCATTTGGCCAACAATATCTTGTTTAGCCTTTCTTGGTTCCAATTTAGTTTTGTACAATTTCATGTCTGACAGGCAGAAGTTGTAGCATTTGACCAACAATATCCTGTTCAGCCTTTCTCAGGTCCAATTTAGTTGTGTACAATTTCATGTCTGACAGGCAGCAGTTGTAGCATTTGACCAACAATATCTTGTTTAGCCTTTCTTGGTTCCAATTTAGTTTTGTACAGTTTCATGCCTGATGGGCTGAAGTAGTAGCATCTGACCAACAATATCATGTTCAGCCTTTCTTGGTTACAATTTGGTGATGAAAATTCAATGATTGCTAATTTTCTTGAGAACTAAAGATCTAGAGATGATGATGATGATTGATGATTGGCACCTTTCCGTCTTTCCAGACGATGGTGTTATATTGCGCTATGAAGGGGCCTGAGACTCGCAGCCCATGGCAAATGTGAGTGTGACTAGCAAGACCCGCCCGTGTCAAGAAAAGTATTCCACAATGATAGCATGGGATTTCAGGATCATTGTTGTCAACATTTTTTTTTCAGTCTGTTTATTCTCAGATGCTCAGCTCTCGTCCTTTCTGCAATCATTTCTTCCTTCACTCTCATTCCCTTCCTGATATGCCCTTTTTATACAACACGGTCTGTGGCATTTTGTTCCCATGAGTCCACTTCAATACCTGTATCCTTCATGTCCCACTTGCACACACGAGATCTAAAGATAATACCAGGAAAACAACCAAACAGCTCTAAAAACAGCAACAGTATATGTTTTCAGTTCATAATGTAATGATGATGCAGCAGACTACAATGACTGCATTTACTGACTTTCCTGAAAAGAAGAACCCAAAAATAAGCCCTAGCATGATTTTTCGGGTCCTGGGGAAGAAAAGGCGGCCGGCGTAATGCTGACCACGTTACCTACCCAGTGCCGACTGGTCTGTAAAAATATGGGTTGCTCTTTTCATATGCCCGATGCGCCTAGAAGCGTGAAAAGGGATTTTTACTTACTTTACTATGATTTTTCAGGATGCTGGAAAAAAAAAGCCCTACCCCAAATATAAGGCCTAGCAAAGATCGTCAGCCAGACGGCAGGACTTTGTTTGTCCGTTGAAATATACACTAGTTGTATTGAATTATAATGTAATTAATTTATTTTTAAAAAAATACAATTGATATTAATTCTTTAAATAAAAAATGATTGCATTAAAGTATTTGTTTAAAAAAAAAAAGACAGATGAAATAAAAATAATTATCTCTTGAAAATAAGACATCTCATGAAAACAAGCCTTAAATATAACTAAATAATAAATTGATTTTAATTCTTTAAAAAAAAAAATTATGATCTGCAATAAATTATTTGTTTTTAAAAAAATGACAACCAACATTTAAAAAATAATCATCGCTTGGAAATATGATATCCACTGGAAAAAGCCCTAACGCGTCTTTCGGGACACAAATGTATGACAGTTTATATTTTTGTTTGTTTAGAAACACTGTAGTGAGCCCTAAATAGCAGTTGGTGCAATAATGCATAACAGTATTGAAACATCATTAATTATTTATTAGGACAGTGGTTCCCAATCTTCTTAATACTGCGACCCTTTAATACAGTTCTTCATGTTGTGGTGACCTCCAACCATAAAATTATTTTGGCTGCTACTTCATAACTTCAGTAAATGTGTTTTTTCGATGGTCTTCAGCAATGCTTGTGAAAGTGTCGTTTGACCCTTGAAAGGGGTCACGACCCACAGGTTGAGAACCCCTGTATTAGGAGGTCCTAACGCTTTAAGGCCCAAACAACGGTGTGAGCGTAGTTTGAGAAGTTCCGTACTGCCCGAACAACGGTGTCATCGTCAATCGTGTGTCCCTTACATTTTTGCTTCGCACGCCCGTTCGTACTAGTTTCTAATGTTTGGAGGTACGATTAAACTATTCAGGGAAAGTCACTCTGCCGAAATCCTTTTATTTTTTTTCCTGGACTAAACCACACGTGGATAATTTGAGAGAAAAAAAACAGCAAAATTTTTTTTCAGTTCATTTTCTAAGTTCGTTTTTGAGTGCCATGAATACTAATGTTCTAACCACAAGAACAGGTCGCAGAATGCGTCTTTCTGCGGCCGAAGCTCTGAAATTGTTTCAGTCAGATGTTTTTAATTGTGATAATGATAATAAAAATTTAGATTTTTTGGAAAGTGATTCGGACGGTGAATTTTTGCTAGTGAAGCTGAGCGAAAATCATTAATTATGATCTGCAATAAAAAATAAGATATCCACTGGAAAAAGCCCTAACGCGTCTTTCGGGACACAGATGTGAAGCTGAGTGAAAATATAAACTGTTCGGAATCTAGTGATTCTGATGAGTTTATTACACAAACAATGTCCCATACTACCGTATTTATGGTGTAAGAGAAGGAAAGTGCTCTAAACAAAGAGACAGTACTATACTATGGCTAAGCTACATTGAAATCATTGCAGCCACAGTCTGTAAATAACTGTACAAAGTGAATAGTAAATAGTGTGTGTGTAATGGCTCATTTTTCTGCCATTTTTTTCCTGAAATTTTGCTTAGCACTCGGTGAGAACTAAGAGCCCCTGAGTGATAAACTAACCCAGAAAGCTATAATAACTTTAGACTATGTTAGGAAATTGAACAAACTTTGGAGTTTTGTTCTCAAATTTGGATATTTACTACTCTTGTGGCTGCAAAACCATGGTAAATGAAGAATTTGTGTGTGAGATGTTGTCCTTGTGAAATTAACACCTGCTGAATTCTTCTTTTCCACTAACTATAACAAAATCAAACAAACACTTATCATCAGATTCAAAATGTACATTCATTTCTCTTTTAAAAAATGTATACTGTTATAGGGATTAGAAGTATATTACAATCTCTACAGCCTTTCTTGTACACCCACCCCTCTGCCATTTTTGTAAAGGGGAATTAATGTGGGCCAAGTCTGTCAAAATTCATGGGCCTGAAAGAGTTAAGCTACATGCCACACTTGTATATTCTAAAGTGGACTTTCTAATTACTTTCACACTGTTCATGTTACAAATTATATAGACCTTTTAAAAACTAAATTAGGTATAAATACTTCACATCAGCAGTTATCAAACAACAACACACACAGCTGGGATAACATACATAGCTGGGATAACACTACAATTTCAATAAGGAAATCTTCAGTTAGAAATGTGAACCAAAAAACATGGACAACTTACCGGCATGGTGAAGAGAGAGGCCTGACAAATCTGCAATCAAGGAGAAAAGACATACAAATTACTCCTCACATCATGGCAGGTTGAACAGGCAATCATATTCTTTCACTTCATTCTCTTTTACTTCGCTTTTTTTTTCTTCTTCTGACCTTCCTCCAGCCACCTCAGCTCTGTCAGGGGAAGATTTAAGGAGCATCTACGTGCTTCTTGGTTTGGCTTGCTTTGCGTAACAATAAATTGTCACGGCCAACCAGCATCCCCAAAGAGGGAGCTTTAGGTTATAATTGTGACTAGGTTTTGTGCGCCGTATAAAATGGCCTAGCATTGCTCCCCACCAAGTAACTCTGAAAAGAACTCTTGTAATGTTGATACACTCGTAAGAGACAATCCCAAATACTGTCCCGACCAACGATGCAGCCGTCTACTGGCCAGCCAATGAGGAACTCGGTTGCCAATGAGTGAATCTATGTGCTCTTTTAAATGCATTTTATAAGTTTGTCTTCATTTCCCTAAGACTGTTGTTAATATTGTCATTCCCTATTTTTTGTGGTCTTCCCTTTGTCCTGAGTTTAATGTATTCTTTCAGCATGGCAGTCTGGCAGCTTGTACAAGGTCATTCTTATTAGATAACGAAAGCATTTTATCTAGATATCATCAATGCTGTATGGACTGGGCTAGTGGTTAATGATGAATCTATGACACTAACACGATTGTGTGACATGGGAGTAAAGCAATGTGAAGCTCGTCTGTTATACCTTCGAAGCAAAGATAGGAGACATTATAACCAACCTCTCATGGGAACAGTTAGTAAAAATACATTGGAGTGGTTGCTGCATCGGAAGACCTAATGCCCAATGTAGTTTTTCTTATTAGACAACTAAAGCCTCTTATCTAGATCTCATCAATGCTGTATGGACTGGGCTATTGGATAATGATGAATCTATGACACTAACACCATTGTGTGACATGGGAGTAAAGCAGTGTGAAGCACGTCTGTTCCACCTTCGAGGCTGAGACAGGAGACATTATAACCAATCTCTCATGGGAACAGTTGGTAGAAGTAACTTGGTGTGGTTGCTGCATCGGAGGACTGAGCACACATGGGAATGCCCAATGTAGTTACGTCAACTGTAATAACATTTACTTTACTTAACTGTTCTTTCACCATCACCTCAAACCTGTATTCTCTGTAAGTTTTCCACCCTGCAAATCACATCTAACATTTTCTCCCCTGTCTCTTATACCCTCAATCTTCCCAGCTGTAACAATATTCTCTAGTCCCCTTCTTCTCATTAGTCAATTATCTGCTTTTTTCTATCTATAAACCTGTCTAGAGTATCCATTTGCTCTATGCACAGTATAGGCCATAGATGGGCATAGTGGACAGTGTTTACAAGCTTAGAAGCACAGCAGTCTGGGTTAATCATCAGTGAGTAATTGTCAATCAGGTGCCATCTCCACAATGCAGGTTACCTGCAACAGATTTCCAGTACTATCTGTCTCTTGTCTTGGTAGTTAGTGTCCTATCTCAGACTGCTGTTCATTTCTTGATGTTGTCCTATCACTTCTATCAATGTCTACCTCTTGCTTTCTTGCCTTTGACTGCTCCTTCCGATATGGTTTTTAAAAGAGTGTTGTCTTTTCGTGCGTGTGGTCTAAATATTTCAACTGACTTGTGTAAATTTCTTTCACCAACTCTCTTTTCATTTCCCAATCTCTTCAAAACCTTTGTTTTGATTTCCATGAAATATTACCTTTTCTTCTAACAGAGGGATTCTGTTGCCAACTAAATGCAACAGTTTACCTTCTTCTTTTGCTGTCACACTGCTATCCAGTGTCATGGTTTTCTGTATTTGTCTTGTGCTTCTCAAGTGGCTGGAGTTACAATTTTTTTCAGCTACACCGACTATCAACCCCTTCTTTGGTCTTCCTCCCACTTTCTGCGATCATATTCTGCTGTAGAATGTCTCACATACAGTTTTAGCTGGCTGCATTCGTACCAGATGGCCAAACCACTTCACTCTTGGTCTATCAACTGAATTCAGGCACAGTCTTGTTCCAACCTTCTCTCTGATGCCTGTGTCTGTGACCCTGTCCCTTCGTGTCCTATATTGACCCTTTGGAGGCAACACATTTCACGAGTATTTTTTTTTAATTTTCCCTCTGATCCAGTTTTTCACAGGTAACAGAAAGTGGGGATGAAGATGCTAATAACGATTTTCTGGAAGGAAGACAGCAATTGTTCCGGAACACACAATACAAAAGAAATAAAGAAACAGCAGGAGGGAGACCTAAAAGGCACACAGAGGGCAGAACTAAAGACAGATGAATAAGACTGGGAAGACATGGAGTTGGCAGGAAGTGGTTTTCTCCAGGAGATGGCTTTCAACCAGCCGCCCAGACTTAACATTTGCCACGTTAGACTTAGCAAACAACATACATAAAATGGTGCTCAGCCAACTAGCAGGTAGTGACCACCGACCGATCCTGATTTCTGTTCTAAATATGAGAGGCCTTCATTCGATGCCGCCCCCTAGTTGGAATTACAAGAAAGCTGACTGGAACAGTTTTGCTACCCTTGCTGATGTATACTCGATAAATGTAAACGGCAAATCAAGTCAGGTTGCTAAATCAGTAAAAGAGTTTACAGAAGCTATATTAAAAGCAGCCAAAGAAACCATACCTCGGGGTTTAAGGAAAGTTTACATCCCATTTTGGTCCCAACAAATTCAAGACCTCCACCAAACTCTCTCAGAAGCAAGAGATAGAGTAGAAAGCAACCCAACGGTAGAAAACAACACTGCTTACAAAGCAGCAGAAGCTAAGCTAAAAAAAGAAACACTTCAAGCAACTAGGAAGAGCTGGCAAGACAAAACCAAGAGCCTAAGTTTTGAAAAAGATGGGTCCAAACTCTGGAAACTAGTCAAGTGTCTAAATGGAGAAGCCCAACAAGCCAATCCAATAGTAATAAATGAGGGCAATGAGATCAGATCTGGAAACGATGCTGCAAATATCCTTTTAAATCAGTTTAAATCTGTTAGTGATATTAATATAGAAAAGTCCAGAGAAGATGAGGTAGTACAAAGAATAAAAGAACTCGAGGAGGCCAGCAAGAGTAAACCAGCAGAGAGCATCATGACAGATAAATTCTCAATGAGTAAACTTAACACAGGACTCAACCAGCTGAAATCCAACCAAGCCCCTGGCCCCGATAAAATCACGAATGATATGTTACTACACATGGGTCTAAGTGCCAAAAAGAAATTATTAAACATCTTTAATGCCCGCTGGATTTTTAGTATAGTTCCTCCAGCCTGGAGGAAGTCTGAAATCTTCGTAATCCTGAAACAAGGAAAGCCGAAGAACAACGCAGACAGCTACAGACCCATCAGCCTCACTAGCTGTCTGTGCAAACTATTTGAAAAGATTATTGAACAACCGACTGACCTGGTTCCTAGAGAAAAACTTCAAACTAATGGAGGAACAGGCAGGTTTTCGACGTTGCAGATCAACAGAAGACCAAATTACATTTATTGCTCAACACATTGAAGATGCATTCCAGGAAAAAAAGCACACTATTGCAGTCTGGGTGGATATGGAAAAGGCCTTCGACAAAGTGTGGAAAAATGGGCTGAAACAAAAGCTACTTGAAAGTGGAATATCCCATCACATGCTTGGGTGGATCGTAAAATATCTTGAAAATCGTTCTGCAAGAGTCAAGATACAGGGTTCAAGGAGCAGATCAGTCTCAATGACACATGGAGTTCCACAAGGTGGAGTTCTGTCCCCAATTCTTTTCCTAGTTTACATTAACGACATAAAATCAACCCTCTGTAATGGAGTTCAAGCCGTTATGTATGCCGATGATCTGGCGCTACTGAGTTCAGAGGAGGTCACTGAAAAAGCACAGACAAGGCTTCAAGAATCTCTCGGAACTCTAGAGAGGTGGTCCAATAGCTGGTACATGCCTGTAAATGGGGCCAAAACCACACACACCATTTTCAGTCTCTCTACCAAACCCCAGAAAGTTTCACTTAGATATGGCAGCCAGGTACTGATACATGATGACTCACCGTCATATTTAGGAGTAACCTTTGACTCAAGACTCACATGGAGAAAACAGATAGAAAAGACACAGAGCAAGGGACTCAAGAGAACACAACTGATGAGGAAGTTAGCTGGAACAGACTGGGAGGCAAACCTCAATGTCCTTAAGAGGACTTATGCAGGCTATGTGAGGCCAACACTAGAATATGGAATAGCTGCTTGGGGCACAGCAGCTAAATCAAATTTTCAAAAAGTCTCAAAGATCCAAAACCACGCTCTCCGTATTATGACAGGGGCAATGCGCTCCACGCCCATATCAGATATGGAAACAATTACTGGTCTCCATAATCTGGAAGATAGGAGAGACACAAAGAACCTCACCCAGCTCTCCAAATACCACCACTTTCAAGAACAACCCATGTACAGCCGACTGCAGAAACCCCAGAAGGCTAGACTAAAGAGAACTTGCTTTATTAAGAACGCAAATGCCAAGCTCGCTGTCCTTAAACTCCCTCCCATAATACCAAATGTTCCACTTAAACCTTACAACGACTGCCCCGCTTGGCTTAGGGATAGCCTACCAACAGTCAGAACCACTGTAACAGGGGTCTCCTCCAAATCATCAATGAGCAGCACTGATATGAAATCAACTACAGAAGGAGAGATCAATAGACTTTACCCACACCAGAGTTGGATTCGAGTGTATACAGATGGTTCAGCCAAGAGAGCAGTAAGAGACGGAGGAGGAGGAATATACATAGAATGCCCAAATGGTTTAAAAATCAACCAGGCTGTACCAACAGGTTCATATTCCTCCAATTACAGAGCAGAGGCAGAAGCACTTCTAGCGGCATGTTCTTTCCTGAATGGACAACAGCACAGCAAATATAGCAGAGTGGTCTTTCTGACTGATGCTATGTCAGTTCTACAAGCAATTGTTAACCCAAAAGACACTCAGTTTGTAGACTTGACGCAACAGCTGATTTACTTAGGCTCTTCAGTAGAACAATCAGTACTGCAGTGGATTCCAGGTCACTGTGGCTTGGAAGGCAATGAAATAGCGGACAGATTAGCCAGAAGCGGCAGTGACATGGTACAACCAAATAGCGACTTAACCCACCAAGAGATGAAAACACTAATACAATCTAGTATCCAAGAAAGGTGGCTGGATACCCACACCAGATTTTCTCCCCAAGACTCACTTCATCGCCTCTCTAGAGAGGGACAGTCTATTATATTCAGACTAAGGACAGGGCACAACAGATTTCGTCAACATATGTTCAAATTTTTCGGTGTAGGAAATACGGAGACGTGTCCCTGCAGCGTGGCACCCGAAAATGCTGAGCATGTGCTCCAACACTGTCAACTGTATGCTGACAACAGAGACGCAATCTGGCCTGTTCCAACCACACTGAAGACAAAACTGTATGGTACACGAGAGGATATGGATTGCACGATAGCTTTCATAAAGGCTACCGGCCTCCTGATATAAGTTTTCTGACAGAAGGATCGAAGAAGAAGAAGAAGATTCCAATGGGTGGTGCGACTCTTTTCACACCATTGGCACACTGGATATATAGTGCTAGGCCTAGCTTCTGAAGAGACAGAATGAAAAGACAGTTGAAATATTGTGACCACACTAAAAGGTCTAGGCAGACAGACTGACTGGATCGGCACCACTGGGTGGTGAACTGATACATGACAAGGCAGATGTGGTCAAGGCCCTTTGGGATCAGGTAGCGAAACTAGATTATTGTGGTCTGAAGAGAACGATACCCCTGGGAGTGACCAGAGGGACTAGTTGGCTCAGAGGAAAGGCAAAATGGACATATAACCAGACTAGGACCGGCCCCATTATTACTGGAACTCTGTGATGGCTGCTGAAGATGGGGACAGTGCGCATATGGCAGTGCCCAGAGTGCTATGATGTCAATTCTTGACTCAACTCAACTCCTATATTTAAATAAACCAATCAGCACTTGATGATGTGGTCAACATCAATCTGACTGCCTCAACCTCTCAGGACACTTACGTTGTACCCATTTTAAGATTAATCGACCTGAGAACAAGTGTCAATTTTGTTTGAAATTTTTTTTAATGAAAACACATTTTTTTTTTTTAGATCTGACTCGATGAAGGTTTGACCAGCAGGCCAGCAGGCAAGCATCTAGTCGCTAAAGGCAAGACAAATGTCTCCATGGCAGACAAGCAACGAAAGCAGACATTTCAAACTCTCTTACCGATTCCTGGAGAAACAACCCTTTCATAATGGTAAGGGTTGATGCAAACACTGTCCTGTTTCAAGTCAAATGCAAACTGGCAGAACTTGACATGCTTCAGCTCGTTTTTGTGAAGGTCTGGCCACCGCCAGATTCTAGCATAGATTACATGAGGAAAGCCTTTTCTTCCCGCAACCTGGAAATGTGGGATCAACAAATGGGAACCAATCGGCCAACAGCAAAACATATATACATTAAATGCAAAGGGGAAAAAAGAAGCAACATTGTCTCGATTTTAAAAAGAAAATAAGAAATTGAAATGTCAACATTAATTAATCCTTATATGGAAACTGAGATGTCAACATTAATTAATCCTTATATGGAAACTGAGATGTCAACATTAATTAATCCTTATTTGGAAACTGAGATGTCAACATTAATTAATCCTTATATGGAAACTGAGATGTCAACATTAATTAATCCTTATATGGAAATTGAGATGTCAACATTAATTAATCCTTATATGGAAACTGAGATGTCAACATTAATTAATCCTTATATGGAAACTGAGATGTCAACATTAATTAATCCTTATTTGGAAACTGAGATGTCAACATTAATTAATCCTTATATGGAAACTGAGATGTCAACATTAATTAATCCTTATATGGAAATTGAGATGTCAACATTAATTAATCCTTATATGGAAACTGAGATGTCAACATTAATTAATCCTTATATGGAAACTGAGATGTCAACATTAATTAATCCTTATATGGAAACTGAGATGTCAACTGAAACCACCAGTCATCTGATGGTGTTTCTATTTTCGTGTTACAGGCTCTCACTGTCGGCTTTGCTGGATTCATTCTCATTAGGTGGCCAAACCATTTCAACTTTTGTTTCTCAATGAATTTAACAATGGTTCTAATTTCTTCCTTTCTCACAAGAACTCTTCTGTGTCAATTACAAAAGGAAAATCAGATTACAGAGTGCATGTGGAAACTGACATCTCAACTTCAACTACCTTTGACATATTATTATCTTTTTTTCTATGAATGTATCTGCTAGAATAGACAGGGGGAATGATACATTCACGTAAAACTTGACCTTTCTTAAAGAACTGTGAGGGAAAGAATTTGGAGAAAGATAGGAGGGAAAAAACATAAAACAAGGAAGAAAATAGGAAAAATAAAAGGAAGAAGAACACAAAGAGAACGATTAGATAAAGAAAACAAAGAGAAAGAAAATACTGGAAGAAAATGAGATGAAATAGAGTGAAGGAAATAATAACAGGAAAAGAAGACATTTGGAGGAGAGGATAATAATCCAAAAAAAAAAAAACTTTTTTTTTTAAAACAAAGGGAAATAACCAGAAGAAAGTGAGCGAGTGATTCCTCCCATCAAGACTCCTACCTAAAGGTCTGGCACTCTAGTGCAGGGCTATTCTACTACTAAATTTACTCAGTAGACAACTTTTTCAAAATAGGGATCATCACAGGTCAAAGGCCCAAGCATAGAAGGATCAATCATACAGTACAGCTGGCAATGACCTGTGGACTTGCTAAGCGTCCACGGGCCGCCAGTTGAATAGCCCTGCCTTAGTAGCTTGACTGTGGTGTCTGTGGCTTAGGTGTTGTGTGTCTGAGTTGTAATTCCAGCGTACTGTGATCGAAACCCAATGCTGGCTGGGTGGATTTTTATCATTTTATCATGGTATAGGGTGTCGCCGGTCGACCCAACTTTAAATGGGTAAATGGAGGTATGTCCTTTGAAAGTAAAGACAGCTGGCATAATGCTGACCGCATTACCCAACAAGTGGTCTGCAAATATATATATGGGTGCTCTTTCCATATGCCCAATGTGCCTAAGGCGTTAAAAAAAAAGGTTGTTACTTTTTTTTTTAGTAGCTTGATGAATCCTGTTTTTCAATGAAACAGGATGAAACCCAGATTCCCCATTCAACCTCCTGAGAAATTCAAATTAGGGCACTTAAATGACCCTACCCTTGTATACTCTACTTTCTAATTGGGTAAAGAAACATGCGAGTGAAGAAAAAGAAACCAAGGAAAGAGGACGATGCTGGAGAAGAGAAAAAGAGACACAGCAAGTGAAAAAACTCATACCTGCAAACGGCCGTCCAGTGTTCGTTGTATGGTCACACATTTTGATGGGTGAGCACCATTTGTTGTGATGGCAGTGATCAAACTGTCAAGCTCGTCCCGCTTCTCCTTCAACTTCTTCACCAGACTCTCAATGGCTCTCTTAGCAAAGCTTTCACTTTCACCACCCTGAATGCAAAACAGGGAAACTCAGCACTATTAAAAACTAATCTGAAATAATTTGATATTTAAAACTAACAGATTTTTCTATCATTCCTTATTCAGTCAATGTCTTAAAAAAATAAAACAGATTAAAGTCGAGAGGGCTCCCTTCATTGCACCGGGTTTGATTCCATTTGGTCTGGTCTGTCTCTGCAGAATGGCTAGCTGTTGGCCGAGAGAGTCACACAAAGATCAAACACCGTAGCTCCGGTGATGATACCCTGGGGTATACGTACAAAATGCACTTAAGAATGAAACGTCACAGCTGTGAAATGAATCCACAACGATTAAAGAGCGCGAGGCAAACAACCTGACCACTTCGCCACAGAATCACATGAATTAGTCAGTATGTGTGGCATAGGGGCTATGATCGCAGTTTCATATTTCCAACATATCCAGGTTCAAAATTATCTGCAGGTGATTTGATAAATGACTGCACTGCATTGATCTGGACAGTAGCATGAGCATCACACCATTCAGAGCCCAGTGGCAAACTTCTGAATGTAAAACTGCACAGTAAAATCACAACCAAAAACTGGGTCTGGTTAGCAATATTCTCAAGAAGCCAATACAACTAACTGCTTGTTCTCTTTGAAAAGACATTCACACATACCACTAAATGTACCTACAGAAAGCAAATACGGTTGTTTCAGACTCTCATGACAATAAAGTAGCCTGAAAGTCAAGGAACCTTATCCGGCTGCAGCACAGTAGGGATATTGTTTAACCCTTTTACCCAGCTGACCAAGAAACAACACTGTCAAGATCCCGTTAACTCCTGCATTTTCCAAAATCAGGAAAAATACTTACCAAAGAAAAATTGCAAACATTCAATTTGAATGTTGAATTAGGAATCCACATAATAGCACGCAGGACACACCCATAAGCACTCCATCCCCATCTTTAGCAGCAAACGAAGAGTTAAAATTCCGATGACACCAGTAACTGTCTGACTGTATATCCGTCTCAATTATTGGACCCAAAAAGAAATCAACAACTGCCATATAGATGAAGGGAAGTAGTTTATAAGAACAAAAGCAGCAGAAAACTGACTGGCTTACGTCTCTTAGAGCCTCGAATATGAATTATGGGGCGACAGTTACTTGAATCTGTGACCTAGTAACCGTAGACTAGTAGGGGACAGATATCAGAATTTCTATAAATAAAGCCTTTTTTCATAGACCCTCTAAATGCTATTTCTAGTACATGTAATCATTCACGGCCCTGCTAAAAGTTTACGCAGATGCTCTACAAAACAGATTCTGTTAGCTCGTAAACAAGCCAATATAGCGAGCTTTTATGTGGAAATGGCACCTACCAGAAGTGCCACTTAGGAGCCTCTCTGGGTGACAGGGTTAAAGGTCAAAGAACTGACTCGCTGCACCACTTCATCTCATGCAGCACTCTCTCCTTCTCTCTGCCTCTCTCTTTCTTTCTCTCCTTCTCTCTCTCTCTCTCTACAACTTGATGGGTTATGTCAGCATCATCATGCATGGCATCTTTGCTACCCAACAACTGACTGGCATACAATACAGGCTGGGTTGACAAAACATACAAATAGTTTGTTTTTTTTAACGCCCTGAGACATATTTGAACCCAAGACATTTGAATTGGCAAACAAGCATTTAGCCTGGGATCCTACTATTTCATGTAGAGAGTACATATTCAGTATTTTTGTGGTGGCTGTTTTGAGTTCCCAATCTTGAATTTCCTGTACATATGGTGGCTGCAGTCTGCTGTGTCCAGTCCCCAATCTTGAATGTCCTGTACATATGGCGGCTGCAGAGTCTGCTGTGTCCAGTCCCCAATCTTGAATTTCCTGTACACATGGCAGATGGAGACTAAAGTGCAGAAGTGGAAGAACAACAAGAACTTTCTGCCACAGTTCACAGCTGATGAATGTGAAGAAGAAAAATTAGGGCCGGGGATGAATTGCCTCCTGTCCTTCGCATGAAGCCTGGCCAGTACTGCAGAGATCAATGTGCTGACAATAATAAGATCTATACCAACCTGCCGATGGCACATCAGGCTATGAACAATGCTCAGACAGGCATCTGCTGATGTTGGCGCCTGCACTGCCATTGCAACGGCCAACCAGAACTGGAATTTCAAGAGCTGTTTCTACAGTTTAGTTAAGCCGTTGGTCTTCTTCACTGTCTTGTCTCAGGCTCGACTGGCGTTTCTGAAAATCATGTTTTCTGACTTTAATTGAAAGATGTTTAAAATAAAGACAAGGTGTTCAATGGTGAGTTCAAAGTTAAATTATTGACATGAATAAACTAACTAAACTGCACAAGAACTACTACTTCTTGGCATTCACTGGCAGAAAGTTATGGTTGTTAGTCGACCTGGCAACTTTAGTCTTCTTCCAGAACCTGAGTGTTGTGTGCACATCCGCTTTACACATGACTTATTAGTATGCAGACTGCTAGTTCCTTGCCTCTCAGGCAGATGTACTCTGACTTCGAAGGAAGCCTTCAGTTAGTTGACTCTTATGACATGCCAAATAGGGAGGCAGTGAGTCTTTTCTTGTTTTCCCCACAATAAGGCCCTGGAACCCACACTGGGACAAGAGGAGAACAAAACCCAGGAGTTGCTACCCGGGCTGGCCTACACCTGAGAGTGTAAGAAAGGTACAGGAGTTCAATCATTCAAAGAAGGGGGACTTCTTCTGACGATTAGAAGACTTCTCTAGGCACGCTCCTCTGCAGAGTCTCTACTACAAAAAGATAAGAGGATAGACACCACTGCACCACCGGGTTTTATCCCATTTGGCTCTGTTCGTACAGCAGCATCCGGCCTGCTGAGTGTCACACAAAACACAAAAGCCACAGCTCCAGCGATAGCTCCCAGGGATCTCCATACAAACTGTACCCTCACTGATTTTCACTTATATAATCAATTTGCCTTCGTGCAGATAAAGTGAAGTTAAGTTTTCCTCTACGTTTTATCTTTTTAATTTGTTTATTCTTTGAGCGTAAGATGTTTATTTCTGTTATATTCAACTTTATATGAGAAGTACACTTTGTTGGCAAAAAAGTAATATTTAAGTAATTTTCTAGGGTTCAGGAACCCAGCTAAGTAAGCCAATTAACATTAACATGTATCAGAAAACTGTTTCAGTTTCAAACAGAATGGAACTTGTTGGAACTAATTATGTTCGATATCAAAGATTCCACTATAATAATTTAACTCCTGACTTCGAAGATTTCTCAATAATCTCCCTTCTGTTAGGACCAATTATTATGTTAATTTCTTTCTAATTCAATTATAGGTCCTGTTCATGTTTCCAGGACCAGGATTAGAGTAACTTCCCTTGCCATTCATGTCTCCTTAGGTCACTGGACCTTTTTATGTTGCCGGGGTGTTATGATATGGCTTGGTTTGGCATCCGCTCGGCGTATATAATGTTTGTGGGAGGTTGTGTTGTTGTGAGTCAATTTCAGGCACCACAGGTGCCTGTGTACAAGCAAAAAGTACTGCAGGGGTAAGCGCCACAGGCACAACGATTCTTGACTATCGAAAATGGGATGGTTTTGTATTTCTAAATTTTGTTGATGGCTTCCCCCTGAGAGAAAGAAAGCAGTTTTAAGGAGCTTAGGAATCGAAAAATATTGCTGTTTCCATAATCGCCGCGCAGGTAGCCGAACATAAAAATAATCACCTAAGCGTGCAGTGAGAAGACAAGAAAAGAGGCAACGGTTAAACCGTCCACAATAAGGAAAACACGACTTTCCCAGCAACATAAGAATGGTCCATTGACCCAAGGAAGCATGAATGGCAAGGGAAGTTACTCTAATCCTGGCCCTGGAAACACGAACAGCACCCAATTATGTCATGTACTAAAATGGCAAATGCAAGAAACCCAGATGTGATCGATGGAGTTGGTAATGAAAGTATGCTCATAGCATGGCATGAAAAAGGAAAGAGGGGGGTTGATTGTAAAAACAATGAATTAGCCGAATGTCAGAAAAATAAATGTACTCAGCCCACACTGGCAAAATTGATCAAAGCAAGAAAATGAAGAGGTTGCTTGGACATGCTTGCAGAATGCCTCATGATGACACTTTGGTGAGGACAGCTCTCTGATGGGTGGCAGATGGCGAAAAAAGAAAGATATGCACAACCCAAGGAAATTTGGAGAAAGAGAGCAAAAATGGGGAAATAAAGGAATGTAAAATGACATAGGATATAAGATGACACAGGATATAAAATAACAATTTATAAAATGACATGGGATATAAAATGACACAATGCTAAGGGCAGAAAAGCATCAGACTGGCAGTAAAGGGGATCCCTTGTGAGAGCCTTATGTGTTAACAACAACATCAATAGAATATAGGTAGTTAGATATTCCTAGCCCATTAAAGGAAACCTTATCCAGAAACCTAATACTGAAAATTATAACAATGGCAGAGGAAAGAAATTTAGCAACAAGAAGAATTAAAGACAGCAGATATTCTGTCTTTCTGGGTAGCGATTATATAATTATTGTTTCTGCTTTATACTTAAGAAATGAAAACTAGCTTGTTTCACACAAAACATTTTTTTTTGTTTTGGGAGGGTGGAGGATCCTGTGCTATTCTTGTTATATAATGACTTTCCCAGGTTTCCATTGTTATCGAAACCTCCTTCTTCATTTCACCTTAAAATTCTTTCTAAATAAATCAGAGGTGCCTCTATCATACCTTCATCTAGCCATCAAAGGTTTTGAATCATGTGAGCAGGTGGGAGCATCCCATCCTGCAAAGGTGATTGACATTTACATATCACAAAACATTCCTAAAGTATTATCCAACAAATACACACTAACAGCCCCTGGTTGTACATGTCGCTGACGTGATGTTGACCACATTAACCATGTTGCCACTTGGTCCACAATAATATGGATCCAGAACCATTTCCTCGATGTGCCTCTGACATAAAAGGCCCGTTTATTGTACCTTTTTTTTCATTTGTACATGTGTGGAGTGTTTTTTTTTTTAAATTAAAGGCGTTAATTCTTTATCCTTGCATTCACTGCACGTAAACTGTCTTACATGCAGATGCATTCTGACTTCAAAGGAAACACCTCTATTTAGGCATGTCCACAAAGCCTAAGCCACAGATGCTGAACTATATTCATTACACTGTTTTATAAGGATGCTATTGGCAGGAGTGATTTTATATCTAAAGCTTATCTTTATGAACTTGTGTGAATCAATTGCCCAGTTCTTTAAAATTTTCACAGAATGGGATGGTTTCTTTCACCTGGCATTTACCAGCTGTTAACTTCGAAGGAAAATTCTGGTTGTTTGTCCACTTCTGGACTTGAGTCTCGTTCCAGAACTTGTGTTTTGCATGCTCATCTGATTTACAGATTTTGCTTACTTGTATACAGACTGTTGGTCCCTGGATTCTCAGGCAGATGCAATCCAGACTTTAAAAGGAAAAAACCCAGCTGCCTTTCATGGCATGCATGTGGAAAGGTAGTCAGAGGAAGAGCCATGGGTCTATTCTAATGAGGCCCATAAACCCACACAGGTAGAATGAGATGGTTTGACTTCCAGAAAAGCAAAACTATGAATAATTCTACTGGATAAAGCTGATAAAATGTAATTCAACAGTATTTCATTCAAGTCCTCACATCAATTATAAAAAGTAAAAGGAAAGAACCATTTTCACATCACTGTGATTTGGACAAAAGAGCAGGGCTGGGCAACGGTTTTTTGTTTGTTTGTTTTTTTGTTTGTTCCGCAGATCAAATGTAAAGTTACCAACCTCGCCCTGGGTCATATATAACAAATTATTATAAACATAACACTAAGTTTCCTTGTAATACAATATTTTATAAGATAAATGTTATAATCCTTTGCTAAGCCTCTGGCCAGACACACTCATCCACTGAAGCCCTTCTATATATTCCTAAATGTGTATGTTCAGAGAAAAAATATGGTCCTTGCCGTATATAATATTATTAAAGTCCACCAACAGACACCATCTCCTAATGTTGTAGTTTGTCAGCAACATGTGTTTCACTAGCATGATCAAAAATTTTGCAACGTATGTTTCTAGCTATCACTGTTTAGGTTATCACCTTTTTTTTTTTCATACTGACGATTGGATTTTTTCTTTCCGCATATGTAAGGGTAATTTCATGTTCTACTATACTGAGAGCTCAAGGAGCAGAATACATAGTAATTTTACATAAGCCAGTAAACACTGCTCGCTGGGCCAATTCTAGCCTGCAAGCCATAGCTTGCCCACCCCTGTGTTAGAGCCTTTTCTTCCCCATTATAATGGTTATGGGTAATATGGTCATTATAAGACGGATGCCCTTTGCTTCACATGACATGTCCTGGAATCCATTTAAGGCTGGAGTCTCAGTGAATTATTAAAAACTGCCTTGATGCAAATTCAAACACATCAATTATAAGCAACATTGTTCTGCTCATCTGTGCTCACCATCAAAAGGTCAGCTGGCCTGTTGTATTGGGTTTTACAGCTAGGCTGTGATATCTGTGTCTTTTGGCCTAACACATCCACTTTCAGCAAACTTCTAATGAGTGACCTTGCTTGAAAGGGAGCAGTATTCCCCCCCCCCCCCACCACCACCCCCCCCCCCACCCCATAACCAATAGGGCACCAAAGAAATAGGACAGTCAGACTGCAAAAGATGCCCTATCCTGCTGTACAAGACAGAAAGAGAAGAAAACTGGGCTGTCGAATTACAAGACATCCCCTATTTTGCTTTACAAGATAGACAGCACCCAAAAAAAAATGAATTTCTGGATCAACCTACTGCAAATATATTTTGTAAATTAAAAATCAGATGCAGACATTACCCATAAAATATACTTTATGAAAAAGGAATAAGAGAGACTGGTTCAAACCCCCCCCCCCCCCCCCCCCCCCCCTTTTCGAAAGTAAAAATGTTACAGTTAACCTGGGCTGCAAGGTCAACTCAGCCTAAAATGAGTACTAGGAAATGTTCTGAGAAGAAAAGGTGACCACAATGAAACTGACATCTCACTAAGTTCAAATTAGTCTTTAAAAAAAAATGTTTGCATACTATATGTCTGACATGCCAAAAGTATAAGGGT